GGCCTGGGAGTAAGTGTCTAATGTTGGGAAACAGGTCCAGATGACAGAAACACAGCACCTGTGTACACCTGTCATCAATTACATTTCGTGTCAAAACTGTTTATATTCGTTTTTCTCGCTAACCTTTAATAGTTCGGGTCATTTCTTGCAACCATGCTTATTCCTCAGCAGTTGTCGGTTCTCGATTATTTGTTAAACTAAACAATGTCATGTTGAAGTGTATTGGTTTCATCTTACTCCTGAAATAATATTTTTTTCACCAAAGAGAGTTTATTCAAATTCCAAAGAGAAAATTGTCCAACATAATTTCATTTTCATTCTCTTCTTTAGAAGATGAGATTGTCTCCTTTTTCTCATTTTTATTTTACTTTATTTTATTTTTTAGAGAGGCGAATTCTGTTTATAATTTAGGACAGTACAAAGCTACTTATTTTTATGCAAAAGGATGTAAAAACCCAAGTGTACTTTCTGCTTTCCTATCTCAGTGAGGCATTGTTTGCACTGGCTCTTGCATTCAGAATGGAGTGATAGGTATGAAAAATGAATATAATTTAAGGGGAAATTTAGTACATTTAAATTGCATCCATCAGAAATTTTTCCATTCCGTTCTCACTGTCGCATGGATGACCAGTTTTCTCAGCAGTGACCGTCACTTGGAGCCTGTGATGTCTCCAGTCAGCTGACACCTGATTTCAGATGATGCCACAGTAGTGAGGTCCCTGTGGGCGCCACCGATATCCCGATAAGAATAACCACAGACCTTTATTTTAGCACTTGCTCGGGTGAACTGGTCATAGTCTTGACTTGTTGAAGTTGTCAGTATTTCCCATGCTGAGACTATGAAAATAGCTGCTACCCTGTCATTTATTTTTCTAGTGCTTACTTTTACGGCTTCTTAGTGTTGGCATTTTTTTTTACATTAATATCCTTAACTATTTGAGAATTAATTTTGATGTAAGGAGTAATACAGCAATCTAGAGATCCAACTCAATCTTTTTCTAGTCGTTACAAAACCATTTGTTGAATAATTTATTATTTCCCCATTGATATGAGATACTAACAACATGGATATTGACCGTCTATTCCTTAGATAAACTTCTGTAAAAATTTTGCCACCTGGAAATTCTACAAAATTTCCTCTCTTATTGTTTTGTCATGCATGAATCACAGTTTAATTGTGGTGATGTTCTGGTTTTCACTACGTCATGATTCTAAAAAATTCAACCATCTGGAACAAATCCAGAAATAAGTGGGAAAATGCTCCTTTGTCCTTGTTCTGGATCCAAGTGAATTATTGTTTATAAGTGAAGTTAAAGAAAAAATTAGTTGCAATGCTTTAGAAAGTATATCACCTCTACCACACACCTACCTGAAAAAATTTCCCAAACTAGAAAAAGTGAATCTAAAAGAGGGAAATGCAGGGATGTAGGAAACTATGGTGAGTAATGTAACCAGTGAAAATTATAATTAAAATAATTTCTAATCATGTGGCTATGTGGTTTAATGGTATTCTTTAAAACATTTTAAAAAAATAGAATAGGCATGTTTTTAAAAATCTGATTAAAATGCAGAACAGTTCTTGGTGGTAGTAACAGAGCAGCCTATGCTGGTAGCATCAGGAATCATTAATCCAATCACCCATATCTCTGACTACAGGTATTGGGCCAGGGACCGTACTCTCTTAGCTTGTCTTGCTGTGATCATTCTCTAATTTCATTGCAGTGACTCTTCTGTGACTATGAACCTTTAAACCTATAGGCCCTCCAGCATATTGGCCTCTACTTGTCTCTCTCCATCAACACGTTTTTGTCTTCATTTCCTTCACTATCCAGTTCACATTTTATAGCCCATCATTTCAATAACTCACCAATAACCTAACTCATCTTGCCCCATTCTCTTTGTTGGTACCTGTTCAGCAAACCCCAGATCAGGATGAACTCATATATCTGCTTCCTTCGCCCTTGCCGTGGGCTTTTGAGTGTTGCTGAAGAAAATGGTACAACTGGACAGATGAGTGCCACAATAAATTTGTGGTCGTCAATGTCAACTAGACCGTCAGTACTGCCCAGCAGCCTTACTAGGCTTCTCTGATTAATGCGCTTTTCCTCTGCAGAAATTCTTTCAAATCTCTTCTACTCTCTGCAAACCTGTAGCCTCCCTTCACTCTTAGGAGGTGACCTTACCTCCAACCACACAGAGAAAGTGAAGAGCCATCAGATCGGAACTCCCTCAACTTCCTACTATCAAGTGTTCGTACTCTTCTGCATCTAGACCTGATTTCTCTTCCTTTCTGCTTGTTACGGGAGAAGAGATGTCTTTCTTCCTGCAGAAGGGCCATCGCTCCATCTGTGCTCTGCCTCTTCTCACTTTCACCTTCCCAGGAACTTGACTTATCTTTTCCCTCTCTTGTCTCAGCTGCTTCTCTCTCCACTGGATCCGTCCCTCGGGATTTCAGAGTGCTCAAGTCTCTCCCATCTCAAAACAAGCAACTAGACAGTAACCGCCCCCAGCTGGTGCCTCTTCGTTGAAGTCACACTTCTCAGAGGCATTATCTGCCCTCACTGCCTCCGTTTCCTCATTTCCCACATTTCCCCAACCCACCTCACCTTGACTTTTACCCTTCAAATTTAAAATAAATACCAGTAGAGGAAATGACACTGGAGGTAGAACTCCCAATACAGTAGAGGAGAAAACTGGAAAAAAGGAAATCCAATGAATATAGAAAAACTAAGGAAAAGAGAAAACACAAAACAATATGCAGACATAAGTAAGCATGCCAGGAATTACAGTGAACGTAACAGGGTCAACTCTTTGTAATGTGATCTCTTTACCTAATGTTCTAGAAAATCAAAAGTGTGGTATCAGAGAGGGGGGCATTGACAGCAATGGGGCACAGGGAGCTTTTTGACATGATGAAATGTTTTACATATTTACATTGTAGTCATGTTTCATGACTTTATACATTTGTCACAGCTCATCTTTTATACAGGAATTTGGTGAATTTCATTGTGTGTTGTTTATGCCACAATGAAGCTGACAAACAGAAAGTTTAATAGAAGCATCATACTATACTACTTGGCTTTCAGTGAGTTAGTATTTGTAAGTCATAATTATATAAACACAATAGTTTTTAACTGAAATTTTGCTTATATTACATTAGGAAGAGGAGAGGCGGGGCTGGGGGCTAAAAGATAATAATTAGCCATAATAGGAAATTGAGAGGCTGTCCAAGCCGATGAACCAAGAATTATCAAATACGAGAAGAGAAGGCTAAAGGGAAAGGTTCTGGGAGCAGGCGTGAGGTCTGGAAGGGTGGTCCAGTAGACTGGTAGTTTTTGATAGTAGCCTCTGAGAGTTACTGGACATGTTTGACCATGTGCATATGTCATTTTAATAAAAATTAATTTAATAATCGGGGGCTATGAATTGCTAGAAATAACTATAGAAAGACCAGAAATGGGCACTGAACCCAGCTGAGTTGAGAGAGGAACAGAAGCTCTGATATGATGGATGGCTTTTCCTGGGCTGTAATGTCTAAGCTGAATTAAGAGTTCACCAAAGGATTCTTTCCGAATATAATTGATTATTAAGGATGTTTTCTCTCTCTTGTAACTCTGTTAAAGTCAAGTAGTGCTTCCAAGAGATTATATTGATTTACTTGCATTTTCTAGGCTTACATTTATGCCAGTGGTGAAAAGATGATATATATATAAATCGTAAAAAGCATGGCTGGTCTATCTTGCACAATCATAATGTTGAATGAGTGTTGATAGGATATTCTCTTCTTGTTTCTGTTTTATGGCTTATCACTCAGTGCTACTCTGTGTTTTTCAAATTGAGATGATAAATTGTTTTATGTGTTTTTTTGTTTTGTTTTGTTTTTGTATGGAGTTAACTTGGCCTTCTGGTTGTATACCTTATTTAATTTTGAGCCGAGTGTTTTAAAAATCAGAAAGTAGTAACAGATAAAAATGACTAACCTTGAGTCAGGCTTTGCATGAGACTGGAAAATGGAGTCATCTTTAAGGTTGCCTTTAAGACATTTCTGATGAAAAATTTTTAGACAAGTTTTCATCACGTAGGTAGGACAACATAAGTCTGACTTACTTTACAAATAAAAGATATCCCCTTCTTTTGCTAATTTGTCCTGCTCGTCTTCAGCTATTTTTAAGAAGCTAATGGAGAAAAGATGGTGCGTGTATTTGTGGTTCAATGTTTTCACAAAGACAGCTAGGAATTTTGTATGTGCAGGAATGTAGACAAAACTAGACAAGGGCAGGAACAATCGGAGCCGGTGAGAAAGCGTTTGTTAGGCAGCTCTACCTGGACCCTCACGTGCAGAACTTCCAGGTGAACAAGGTCTGCTCTTCATTGCAGTTGTAGGCTAGTGTGAGACAAGGTGACATCTTTGCTTCAAGAACAGCACTGAGGATGAATGAAGTGGGGCTACTAAGTCCTGGAGGCAAGCAGGGCTTTCAGTGGTTCCTGGTTGGGCATGGTGAGCTGAGCAGGGGATCGGGCAAGAATGGATTAGAGGTAGACCAGAAGTTCGGAGCTGATTGGTCAGTTGGCTGAGCTCTACACCCAGCAAATGAAAGTGTGAACATAACAAGTTTCGAGAAATAGAACCATGCTCATGAGGTTGTCTGTCTTGTCATGAAAGGCTTTTTAATAAAGCAGTTCTAGACTATGATGTCATTTCAACTAAACAAATAACGCTCTTAGAGGAGTAATGGCCGTTGGGCTCCTATCTACCTAACCATTTGTATTTTTAAGCATATGCCTGAAGCTGAGCAGAACATTTCATTTTAAATAGTTATATTCCCTCTGGCAAAAGGAGCTCAAGCACAATAGAAATTATAAATAGAACCCAAACTTTAAAATTGTGTAGTGCGATGTGTTTTCACTGAAGATGAGTCATTAATGAAAATTATTCCCAGTGTTTTAAACTGCCCTTTGGTAATTGAATTAGCATTGACATCTCGCAACCTTTTTCTTAGCATACATCTGTGGATGGATATGCTGAACCGCACATCCAGCCGACCAAATCGAGTAGCAGACAGAACATCCCTCGGTGTAGAAACTCCATTACGTCCGCAGCAGACGAACAGCCTCACATCGGGAATTACCGTTTACAAAAAACAATAGGGAAGGGGAACTTTGCCAAAGTGAAATTGGCAAGGCATGTTCTAACTGGGAGAGAGGTAAGTTTTCAAGATGCCTTTTAATATTTACTTGGATTAGAACATCTACCTCTCCGAAGTCTTGTTGAAAAGCGTTCCCGAAGCTGATGCTGGGAATTCATGACAGTTGTGATATGGGATATGTGTGAATGGAATGTGCCGAGTAGAGCTGTATCATTGCATGAAAAGTTGACCTTTAATGTTTAGAAAAGAATCATTCCTACATTTTAGCATCTCAGAGATGGAGTCTGATGCAAATGAACTTTTCTCAGACTTCTGTCTTTCATTAGTGGTTTCTGTAAATACTTCAGATTGCTATTCAACCTTAGAAACAAGGCTAGGATAAAGTCTTTTATTAAACACTAGAGGCCTGATGCACGAAATTCATGCAAGGCTTTGGCCCCTGCCACCATGGTGGCCATCTCTGCCTCGGCCCCTGCCTGCCATGGCTTTGTCCGGAAGGAAGGACATCTGGAAGGACGTCCGGTCTAATTAGGATATTAAGCTTTTATTATTATAGATTAGGTATAAATGTGTAGAAAGCAACTCACCCATTTTTATCTACTTAGAGACCACATTAAACAAGTGTTGTTATACAGATGTTTTATAAGAAAATTGGCTTTCTAAAATCCCATGTGCTTTAAATTATGTGTATTTATATAGCAAAAATGTATATATTAATAATTATTGTTAATATTAATGTCTTTAGTAATTTCTATGTTCAAGATTGAAAATAGTTAAACATCTAACATTCTACATAACATTTTCTGGATCCAATTAGGACATTGTGAGGAATCCCAGTCATAAAATGTTTTTGATAAGTTTTGATTTTGCTCTATGCCTAATATTATTGTCACTTCCAGTTGAATTTATTCCTCCCTGTCCATTCTGACCCATGAGCTGTTCAAGTACATTCTATATTAGGCAGAGACTTAGAGGACATTCAGATCCACTTTGCTGGTCTGCTATAACTAAGCTTGGGCGGCCATTTTCTCTACCCACCTCGTCATTTTATTCACATAGTACTTAACGTTACTGAAAGTTTATAAGCCCCTCCCCTCTGATATTTGTAACTTACCAAGATCATGAGTAAAAGATTAAGATGTAGATGATTTTTATTTTTAAAGAGGAAACTTGGAAGTAATAACGCAAGTGTAATTTCATTGACTCAGAATCAAATGGGTTAAAGATGTGGGTCAATGGTATATATTCTAAGGCTGCCAAATTATCAAAACTTTGCCATCCAATTATGTGAACACTAAATTATTTCTAGTTAGAAATGAAAGAACAGATGTTTTCTTTCTAAGATTTTATTCATGAAAATATGTATTCTCAAATACAGTTTAATGATTCTCTTTTTTAGGTTGCTGTGAAAATAATAGATAAAACTCAGCTAAATCCTACCAGTCTACAAAAGGTCTGTAATTATTTTAATAGTAAATAATTAGAATGTGAGTTTCCTAATTAATATGAGTTCTGTAAAGCCAGGTATCCTAAATTTTCAACTAGGTGCAATATTGCATTTCATTAATCTATGAAGAAAAGACGTGATGTAAAACATTTATATTTAAATAATATTTTTGAAGTAGTTGTTGAAAAATATCTACTACTCAAATGCATGTACCATATGAAAGGAAGTAATGTATTTAATTCAGTAGAATAAAACTTGGCTTAAAATATTCGAAGTATTCAGGATTCTGCTTCGTTAAACATCTATGGATGAGTTAATATTCTCCATAAGTGGGTTTCCTTTTATAGCTTCACTTGCTTTTCTTCCTTCTTCTACAAGAACTAGTATTTCTTCTAACTTACAGGAAAAGATACAAACATTTCTTCAAAAAGTGGAAATATAAGAAAACGGGGAGGGGGGGGGGTTGGTAGGAGGAAGGGGAAGGATAAAAAGCAGTTAGGATGGGGATTGCCCTGTAAACCTGGTAGCTGTTTCATGTTGCTTTACTTGCTTATGTGGGAAGACTTGCTCAGATGCACATTTTAAAAATGTGTACTTTAAAAATGAAGCAGATATTTTAACATTTCTGCCATATATATATATTCATTTTGTATAGTGATCATATCCGATGTGATTTTTATTTGAATATATAGGGATCACAGTCATATATGTACTAGTAAATGCTACATAAATGACTTTGGATTCCTAAAACAGAGAATCTTATAAGAAGTGTTTAATATGGTGTATTTAATTACACCTGCTGATTCTAACATTAAATTAAAAATTTGGGTCTGTGCCCTGACTGCTGTTGCTCCCTGGATAGAGCATTGGCCCATGAACTGAAGGGTCACGGGTTCGATTCCTGGTCAAGGGCATGTACCCGGGTTGCAGGTTCAATCCCCAGCCCTGGTCGGAGCACATGCGGGAGGCAGCCAATTAATGTGTCTCTCTCACATGGATGTTTCTCTTTCTGTCTGTCTCACCCCCCACCCTCCCACTCTCTCAAAGTCAATGGAAAAAATATCCTTGGGTAAGGATTAAAAAAATAAATAAAAGTTGTCCTGGAAACCAAGTCTCAGCAGAGTTAGAGATGGGATGAGAAACAAATGGCTTCTGAGTTCATTACCAGGATCCTGTGGTGCGTTGTAAGCAGATGCGTTTGTTTGCTTCTCCGCTTGAGTGTTCTTTTCTAACAGGAGCGTGTCTACCTGTTTTCTTTGACAGTTGTTTCGAGAAGTACGGATAATGAAGATACTGAATCACCCTAACATAGGTATGAAATTTATACATGAATAATGAAGTGTTTTCTTTCATTTGAGTGTATTTGCAAAGATACAATCTTAAGGATGTTTTATATAAATAGAAGAAAGATGATAACTAGAAACCTGAGGGTGACCTGAGAAAGTGATACTTTGGGTAAAAATAGATTATAAAGAAGTTAGCTGAAGGCTACTGCTTGTTACTACCTTGCTGTCTTCTGCTTTCCCCTAAAATGAGGGATATGACTTGGGGTTGATCCATATATAGTACATGTTTTTTTTGTATCTCTGTACTCAGTCTTCCTCAAGAGAGATTGCATGCCATTTAGATATTTATAAAAATAAATTCCAAATAATTTGATAATACTCTTTCTAGCTTTCTCATAGTTTACAGGCAAAATTAATTTAAATTAAAAACTAGAGCTGGTTTCAATTTTAGTGGATTTATTTCTATAAATTCTGGGTTTCCCCTATATTTACAAATAAGTGTATTGATTGCATGTATTACATGAAGTTACTAGATTTTAAGAAGTAGAAAGCAGTTTTCTGTTTTTAAAACACTTGTTTCTTGCACATTTAAAAATCTTATGTTTACAAGAAATATTCATATGATTATTTGTGGTATATAATTTTAACTACATAAATCTGATAACTTAGTTTTTTAACCACCAACTTTTATAGTATCACATATTTATAGAATTTTTGTTTCTGTACTAAAGATTATTTAATGTTTTATGATAGGCCCATTATAACATAGTATCTTTTAAAGCTTTATTTAAAATTTATTATTGTAAAAAAATTTTTATTATGATTTTAAGATTTTTCCTTTCATTACCTTATTCTGATTAGAAAAGGCAATGGTTCTTTAATGCTAGAAACTTAACTTTCTTTTGACCTAGCAGCCAGTTCCCAATCACTTTATGGTAAGTAGTGTTCTTCCACAAGAGTAATAATCCTTAAGAGAATTTTAAAATTTAAAATTGTAATTAATATTCTTTAATAAATATTCACATTTTCCACTGGCTTAGTGTTACCTTTCATTTCATTAAAATATACCCAGCCACGCCATTGTGACTCAGTGGTTGAGCATAGACCCATGAACCAGGAGGTAGCTGGTTTGATTCTCAGTCAGGGCACATGCCTGGGTTGCGGGCTCAATCCCCAGTAGGGGCGTGCAAGAGGCAGCTGATTGATGTTTCTCTCCCATCGATGTTTCTGTCTCTCCTCCCTTCCTCTCTCTGAAATCAGTTAAAACATGTTTTTTTTAAAAAAAATATATATATAGCCGAAACCGGTTTGGCTCAGTGGATGGAGCGTCGGCCTGCGGACTGAGAGGTCCCGGGTTCGATTCCGGTCAGGGGCATGTACATGGGTTGCGGGCATGTCCCCAGTAGGAGATGTGCAGGAGGCAGCTGATCGATGATTCTCTCTCATCGATGTTTCTGACTCTCTGTCTCTCTCCCTTCCTCTCTGTGGAAAATCAATGGAGTGTATTTTTAAGAAAAAAAAAAAATATATATATATATATAACCAATACATGCTAACAATTACAGAGGTATATTTCTAATTTCTTTTTCAGTAAAATTGTTTGAAGTTATTGAAACAGAGAAGACCCTCTATCTAGTCATGGAATACGCAAGTGGGGGTAAGGATGTGGGGCTTGAAAAGTTCTCTTTGGTGAGACCTAAGATTGTCCACACCTCAAGATTATGTCTTTATTGCTGTTAATGAACTTACAGTTTTATTAAAATGCCTTTAGGTGATACCTTAAGGAAAATTAAGTGTTTGCTGACCTGCTGACCCTACATTTAAAAGCTGGATTTGGGGTTCATTTTAAAATTACTTAGGGACATTTTTAAAACTAAATTTGCATTGTTATCTATGAATGATTTGATTCTCTTATCTAAATAGTATTATTATATGTCATATTATTATGATGACTAGAAGCTGGAAATCTCAAATTCAGAATGTGTTTAATAAAGACTATGGTAAAAGAATATTCTAGGCCAAATGTTTATTTCTCTGATTGTTCACATATGAAAGATTCTCAGTATATGTTCATTTTCAAAATTATCCATAAAATGTTTGAATTTAAACAAGTATTGATCTATATATTCTAAAAGCTGAAAGGTTGAATTGACAGGGAAATAGTAAGATGCATTTGTAGTAGAATGTAAAGTGTATTTTGACTACAGAGGTATACCAGAAGGTATAGGAATGATTTTTAAACACGGATATATATAGAAAACCATTTTCGCCTGCCTTTCCCTCAAGTGAGAGATAGGCTGGCTGAAAACCTCAATTCCGTTAGGTGTAGGACTCAACGTTCTCAGAAACAGGTTTAAAGTGTATGGAGTAAATCATTCAATAAGTAGAAAAGGAATACTTGAAGGTCTTAAGAGCTCAGAAAATTGAAGAAGAGGGAGGGCAAATCTAAGTATGTAAAGCACTTTAGCTAATTAACTCTTTTGCTAATCAATAGAAAACCAGTGTTGAGTCCTTTTAGCTGATAAAGTACATAGATTTCCCTGGTGATTCAGATTTTATGTAGCTAGAATAAAGAGGATTAATTCTAGTTTATAAAACATCTAAATTATGTATTTTTGTACTGTCTCTTAGATTTCAAAAATTTTTTACTACAAATATTAAATATGTTTTAATTGCATTTTCAGGTTTTTTTTTTTATGGAGATTGAAAGTTTTAATAGATTTGGTTGTTTACAAAGCTTTTTTTCCATCCTGAAGATATTTCAGTGTAGATTTTTTTTACTTTACCTGGAAAACCAGTGTTATTAATGTTTTATTATTTTTGGGTTTTAAACAGTTATTCTGCCATGCAAATTTGCATAAAGTGAAGGTCTACAATAAAATTAACAAACCTATAAAAAACACATAACGAACTATTACTCCATTTTTCCATCCTTCAGTTAGATTTATATAACATTTTGTCATCGTGGGAACCCTGAGCATTATTTTTAGTTGTTAGACCTTTTTTTTTTCTTTTTAGTCATCTAAAGTCCAAAAATAGGGGCTAAACATGCTTTGATAGGAGAAATTATAGACTGCTAACAATCTGTGAACATCATTCTGTTTTAAACACAAGTGGCATTAATATATATACTATGTTAACAATGAATGGTAAGTACAGTCAACTCTCTATTGGTGCTAATGAAGGGGACCGATGGCTGGGGTGATGGAGAGCACAGCTGGAGGGGTGGTGTGGTGGAGAGACGATGCACTGGAGTTCAGCCCCAACCAGGTGGTCCCTCATTCAGGTCTCATTCCTAGGGCTCGATTTTCTTCGGTCTTGCCAGTCAGCAATCTTGTAACAAAACCATCATGGTTCTGGCAGTAATCTAGAATCTTTTTCTTGCCCTTTTGATCTATAAATGGCAAAGCTCCTCTGGAAAATACAACTCTTCATATTTTCCGCTGAAATGTCCAGATATTTTAGGATTGAGTCTGACATGCACAGAGAAATCTAACATGGACAAGAGGAGTGGGGTCAGACAGCTGCCTCTTGGACACGAGTAGATCAGTTGATTTTGGTTCCCTGATGGGAAAAAAATTTCCAGTGATGGGAAGGCAGGGAACTCCTTTACGATTTGGTCCAAAAGAGCCTATTACAAGTAGGTGTCAGGACTGCTCTGGGATGGTGTGTTTATTCCTCCTCTCCCTCACACAAACTATTGATTAAATGTTGACTACATATTAGGTAATATTCTGGGTGCGGCGGACACATGGGTGAGCAAAGACTAAGTCCCTGCCCTCAAGATTACATTCTAGTTGGGGAAGAAAACCATAAACAAACAATATAATAAGCGAAGGACTGAGCCATGCCAACATTTGGGGCCTGAGTGTTCCAGGCAGAACTAAGAGTAGTCCCAAGTTTTGAACTCGTGTGTGTATCTTTCCCAGCCTCAACTCATGTATCTAGAATTACCTATGATGGGTCAACTAGAGCATCCATTCATTTCTCTGTTTTCATCATCCCATTTAATCCTTTAAGTAATATGCTGCCTGACATTGTAGGTGACTTAGTTTCATCTGACGTACACCATTACATATTTGATTTTTAATATTTCACTTACATCATATGATTGATATTGCATATACATGTATATGTAATATATCTGTATACCTAGATACAAACCTATAATTTATTGAGTGCTTACTGTATGCCAGTCACTGTGCTAAGCACATGCATTATTTCATTTAATCCTCACAAAAGCCATGTGAGATAGGCAATAGATAGAAACTGGGTCTTAAGGAAGTCACCCAATTGCTACTTTGGGGCTGAACCAGGATTCATACCAAAATTGGTCTAATTCTAAAGTCTGAGTTTTAACCACTTTGCTGTACTTTACAAGAACTCTTTAAGCCATTGTGTGAGTTTTTAATATGCATATATATCTATATGGTATAAATTATAATTAAAAGTACACAAAAATAATTTCTTCTTTATACGGAGATATTTTATTTTAAATATTGTAACTTAATATTGAGGTTTTTCTTTTACTGTTATTGAGTAGAAAAAAATAAAGTCACAAACACATAAAGTGATAGAGCTAATAGAAAATCTCTACAGTTTCTAGTTGTCTTTAAATTATTTCAACAGGTGTGTATTGTCTCTCCACTTTGTGTTCTGTCATGAAGCTGGGGATACAAAGAGAGTATGGCTATGACGATGGTGCTGAAGTAGTCTGAAGTTCATTTAGGGTAATCGGAGATGCACAAAAGGAAGATTTAATTCTGTATAATAAGTAGGTACAAAATAGGTGGAATGAGTATGGCATAACCAGAATATAGGAAGGAAAAGAAAGAAACCAGTGTGTGTGGCGATAGTGAGATGGACTTTGACCAAGGCTTCATGAATTTAAAGAGAGAGATCCAACATATAAGACTTGTTATTTTATTTGAAATGTAGGCCCCAAATACAAAGCCAAATGTGATTTGGTTGCCCGTGCTGCCTGTTCCCTTTATTAGAACAGATAATAAAGAGTTGACTGTACTCTTTTACGTAAGACTTGACAAGCAGAAAGCAAGTTTTTCTTGGTTATGTTTTTATGACTTGTTCTTTAAAGAGTTTTGCTAAATCATCAGCTGCTACAGATACTCAATTCTATATGTAATCCCCCCTTTTTTTCTATTCATGGAAGAGTTTGTGATTTACATAGAACTTTCAGAAAATTGGGGGCCAGAAGCTTCTTTAGACACAAGCCACAAACTTGACATTGCATATGTTGTTCATTGAAAATCTTATGTATATTTTACTGCCTGCTTTACCTTTCTGATTCAGGTGAAGTATTTGATTACTTAGTTGCCCATGGAAGAATGAAAGAAAAAGAGGCCCGTGCAAAATTTAGGCAGGTACGCAAAGTAGTTTTCAACTTTGTCTTGCTGCTCTTTTTAGTGATGTACAATGGACAGTGTCATAAACTGGACTTCAGGGTATGTGGTTTTTTAACAAGAAAAAGTCTTGCTTTCTAACACTTTTTATGAATGGAAAACTGAAAAAGAATTCTGTTCTTCCTGAATTTAAATTTCAGAGTTGCAAATGGTTACTTATAAATGATCATAAATAGTGAAATGCTAATAAGTGAGACACGTTAACTCTTTGATAGTCTTGGAAATAGAGACTAGACTGAGATAGAAAAGAAATACTTAGTCCTTTATCCAATAATTATTGTCAAGTATTATTAGCTCTATGTATACAGTATATATGTGTACTGTTTAAAGAGGTATTAGTATTATTTTCTTTTATAATTAAAGATGTCTTGGTATTAGAACTCATATTTTATAGATTTAAAGATATGGTCAATTTTATTTAGTCAGGTAGGCAAGGAACCTTGCAAATATGGCCGAAGAATGTGGTAAGATAGTTGCGTTTTCTGAATATGACTTGTTACAGAAATGACAAAAATAAGAAAAAGTAATTTAAGTTGATCTAAGATTTAATTTTTAAGAATAAAGGGATTAAAGTAGCATACTGTATAAATTACTATAGACGTGACACATTAATAAATTGTAAATTGTTTTTAAAACAGTTTAAAATGCAGAAAGCATTTTGCACGTTGTGTTCCAAATAGTCATGTAACAACAGAGGTTTCACAAAACCACCTCACTCAGTGATCAATGTAGAGCATGCTGAACCAAAAAATTAACAGAGGTCTGTTCAACTTCTGGTCAGGACACATGCATGTGTAACCATTCCATGTTTTCTGGGCAGAAGGATGATGATGGAGAATGATCACTTTGAAGCGTGAGTCTCCCAAATACAGCAGAACCTGACAATGAATATCTGTAGCATGTTTTCTTAAGCAATCTGCTTCAAAATTCTAATATCTGATGTTCACTGAAATTGGATTGTGGGCTCAATTCCCAGAAGAGGGTGTGTAGGAGGCAACTGATCCATCGATGTTTCTCTCTCTCCCTCTTCTTTCCTCTCTCTCTAAAATCAATAAAAACATATATATATATATATATATATATATATATATATATATATTAAAGCTAAACAAGTTTTTTTCTGCCCCTTTTCTTTAGGACTTCTCCAACCGTTTATACAGGGGTGGGCAAAAGTAGGATTCCAGGTGTAATACAAATAAGTAATACAATAATTAATCAAGAATAATACAAGAATAAACTCTTGTGTTTCACATGCTCACAACTGTAAACCTAATTTTGCCAATCCTGTATATGCCCTTGATTCTACAGTTGGATATAGCAAAGACCCTGCACAAGGCCACTTGAGCAAACATTGGTCAGACAATGCCTCTGCATTCCTTAGGATTTGATGGCCTGCAAGAAAATTACAGCATTGACTCAGCTCTTCCAATACGAAGGCGACTAAAGCTTAGAAATTCCTGACCCACTTAATAACTAATTGCAAAGTGACCCTAGCAGTTGCATCTCACAGCAAAACACTTCCTTCCGTGCCTGGTCATAGGAGCAGTGCAGGGCTGACAATAATTCATGTTTGGCCCTGGCCGGTTTGGCTCAGTGGATAGAGCGTCAGCCTGAAAGACTGAAGGGTCCCAGGTTCGATTCCGGTCAAGGGCATGTACCTTGGTTGCGGGCACATCCCCAGTGGGAGGTGTGCAGGAGGCAGCTGATCGATATTTCTCTCTCATCAATGTTTCTAACTCTCTACCCCTCTCCCTTCCTCTCTGTAAAAAATCAATAAGATATATTAAAAAAATAATTCATGTTTGCATGATCTATAGCAGAAGAACCGTAAAGAAATCCCTGCATCCCATTTATGGATGTTTTGAGATGGGAGGGCCTGGCCTTAGAACAATGCAGTACAACCTGGACTTGTGGGTGGGGTTCTTGCAGTGAGTCTGAAGCCAGAATTTCTTTCACATCAGAAATTGTACCTGGCTAGATGAGTGTGGTGAATACTCTAAACCACCATGTTTGACTGCTAGAGTTCAGAGGTCAAAGAGTTTGGGGAGAATGAATGCTTCACATGGAACATTCTCTTTAATTATCTTTCCATTCCAAAGTTGTTAAGGCCCAGGGGATTTTTATTTCAGAAGTGCCTGTAGAACCTGGAGATTGTTCTGTCTAGTGTGACGTGCATGTGTGGTAACCAAGTCATTATCTGTGGCGTGCCTCCTTCCCTGTGTCAAGACATAGGGACTCGATGCCGAATCCGGTTTGGCTCAGTGGATAGAGCATCGGCCTGCGGACTGAAGGGTCCCAGGTTCGATTCCGGTCAAGGGCATGTACCTGGGTTGCGGGCACATCCCCAGTAGGAGATGTGCAGGAGGCGGCTGATCGATGTTTCTCTCCCATCGATGTTTCTAACTCTCTATCTCTCTCCCTTCCTCTCTGTAAAAATCAATAAAATATATTAAAAAAAAAAAAGACATAGGGACTCGAAAAAGATAATATCATTATCAGCACATTTCTGTCATCCATGATACAGGTATAGCCTTATAGCATGAACATACTACAGCCCATGTTTTATGTTCAGTAAGATTTACTAATATCTACATATGAATGTGCAGATCTCTTGGCTAATCAACATATATCAGTGAACATTGGATATTAGAATTTTGAAACAGATTGCTTAAGGGAACATGCTACAAATACTCATTGTCAGGTTCTGCTCTATTTGAGGGACTCATGCTTCAACGTGATCATTCTCCGTCGTCATCTTTCTGCTCAGAAAACATACAGTGGTTACGTAGGACCTGCTTAGTTTGGAACTCAGAGACTTGCCAGCCTACCAAGGTGTAGTAGGACCATTTCCCCCCCAACTTTTCAAAGAGAGTGCATTTCAGCCCTTTACCAGCCTCCCCTCATCACCAAATCTCCACGTTCTAAAATATTGCTGCCCTTCAAGGATGGCCTCGCTCAGTTATCACCAACTCCAGGAGGCACTCCTAACGATTATTTATTTTTTAGGATTTCCTCACTTCTTTGTACTTCTGCTTCTATGATTCTGCCTTGTTTTATGGTTACCTGTATACATGTTTTCTACTCCTAATCAGTCTGCCAGCTACGTAAGGGCAGGATCCATGCAGTGTTAATTTTTGTGTTTCCCTAGCACATTTTCTTGCACATAGTAGTACTCAATAAACTGACTATTGGCTCAAAATAAATTTAATTGAACTACATATTGCTCATTGTGTGTTGGTTTTGTTTTGAATTCATGTCTTCTCTGTCTTTGAACCATTTTAATATACATCAGGATAACTTTAGAATACTAAACCATCAGTTTCACATCTATTACTTAGAAGTTGTTGGTTTTTTTTAACCCATATTCCTGTTAGCATGGTCATACTTCACATCACCTTTAGCCTTTCAGAAATCTCATTGCTATCTCCATTTGTAAGTGCCTAACCAATATTCAGCATTCAGACTGTGTTCACATTTACCTGAATCCACAGAATTGAATGTTCTGCTGTGTATTACAACGGTTGTCCTCACAGACAGCAGATATAACTATATGTACAAAATAGCTCTTAGTCCAGGCTGGGGTGGCTTAGTTGGGTGAGTGTCATCCCACGCATCAAAAGGTTGCTGGTTCACTTCCGGTCAGGGCACATACCAGGTTGTGGTTTGATCCTGTGTGCAGGAGGCAACCAATCAATGTTTCTCTATCACATCGATGTTCCTCTTTCTCTCAACAAAAAAAATCAATAAAAACATGCTTACGTGATTGCTATCAGAATCTTTCCAATTCTGTATTTAATGTAGTAAAAACTATGAAAGAATTGCTATAACCAATTTATCATTTGTTTCTCTGGCTCTTAATCTGTTGGGTTCCTCCCTGTTTAGACCTTGTCCCCTGAGAGCCCTATGTAATGGTTGAAAATCTTCACTGCATACAAAATCTAGTCACAGTGTAGAGTACTTAGCCCACCTGAATTAGTGACAAGTTTAAGATTAAATTTCACTTTTTAGTCTTTTCTTTTGATAATTGGGTTTATTTTTAAGGTACATTTTTCACATTTCTTTGTACATGAACACAAAGGATGTTGCTAAATACCCCCCTGGGTAAGTTCTTAATCAGTTGTCCTCACTGAAGAAACATGTGTTGAACACATTTGATATAATTCCTAAAATAGAGTTTTGCTTTTTGAACTTGAACCAACTATCTTGGAATACTGCTTCATGTTTGCCAGAGCTCTTATTACAACACTCAAATAAATAAACCATTTGACCCAAACTATCAGTTGTACACATTTGATCATGTAAACAGAGAAATATAACAATCCATAAAAATCTTCACAACTCAGACAAAAATATTTTAGCAAGAGAATTCTACTTTTCAGTATTTTCTATGTTTAAGGGTGAGTTTCACCACTCTAACTTTCATATGTATAGTTTTCTGAACTAAAGGAACATTGAGATTATTAAATGTTACTTTGAAATCCAAGCTAATAATCTAAATTGGAGGTGATAATTGGGGGAAATTGTGATTTTTTTTACCATAAAATAATTTTTTAATCTTTTATCCAAATATTCATTTCAGATTGTATCCGCTGTACAGTATTGTCATCAAAAGTGCATTGTTCACCGTGATCTTAAGGTAAGCCCTGATTTTATAACATAAAAATTTTAATTATTAATGGATGGTTTATAATAATAGAGCTATGTTTGGTTGCCTCATTGTACCCGGCACTATACAAAGAAATTAGTTTTTATTTAATCTTCACAGCAATTTTATGAGAGGCAATATTGTCACTGAGAAAATAAAGAAAAGATATGAGTAGTCAGCTAGCATTAAAGGCTAGAGGATTTGATTCACCATGAGTAAGCTTGTTTTATAGATAAATGTAAACTTTGTCCCAAACTAAAGATGTCTAAAGTCCAATTCAGTCAGAAGCAAGGTCTGGGCACAAATTCAGGTTAGTCTGATATGAATCAGTTCTCATTCTTTACATTAAAGCTCAAAGACACATTTAAAACTTTTTCTTTGAGTGATTCTGATTTAGGATTTTGGAAAACCAGTATCTCAAACATTGGGAGGCTAGGGTTGCAGGGAGAATCACTACTTTCTACCATAATATACCTCCAGAAGAGAATCTAGTTGTAAAACAGCAAAAGGAAGCTTAAAACAGACACGCTCTAATGGAGTCTGTATTGCATTGTACTGTTTTACTGAGAGAACAGAACTCTGGAGGAAGCATTCTCTCAGAGGGCAATGGCTTGAGCTCAGTAGTCACAGAAGCCCTGATTGGCAGTTACTGTAGGTATTAGCCTTGTGTTAACCAGTGGTCCTCTATTGAAGTAGACTGCTGTTGGGTAAACTTGTTGGTTTAAGCCCAAAACAGATCAGTGTTATTTGATTGATGTTCTTTTGACTAGATCATATTAAGATACAGTTCCTTGCCCTAGCTGGTTTGGCTCAGTGGATAGAGTGTCAGCCTGCGGACTGAAGGATCCCGGGTTTGATTCAGGTCAAGGGCACATGCCTGGATTGTGGGCTCAATCCCCAGTTAGGGGCGGGCAGGAGGCAGTCAAACATTGATGTTTCTATCTCTCCCTCTCCCTTTCTCTCTAAAATCAATACAAAAATTTTTAAAAAATAAATTACAGTTCTAGGATATTATCTTGAAGGAAAAAAAGGGTTTGAAACAGCTGCAGATAAGCATCAAAATGAGAGCTCTCCTTGTATGGTGCTAAAATGCAGGCCTCTGTAGATGGAATTCTGAGCAGGTACGCATCCACCTACCTGCTGGGCTTCTCCATTAGCTGTTACCTCGGAAAACGGAGGCAGGAGAGACAGGTCTGGGATCTGGAAGAGTGATAATGGCCGTGTGATGTTATGTAGGCTCTTTACATTGTCCTTTTTATTATTTTCCTCTTAGGCTGAAAACCTTCTCCTTGATGCTGACATGAATATTAAAATTGCTGACTTTGGTTTTAGTAACGAGTTTACAGTCGGGAACAAATTGGACACATTTTGCGGAAGCCCCCCCTACGCCGCTCCCGAGCTCTTCCAGGGGAAGAAGTACGACGGGCCCGAGGTGGACGTGTGGAGCCTGGGCGTCATTCTCTACACGCTGGTCAGCGGCTCCCTGCCGTTTGACGGCCAGAATCTGAAGGTATCGGCTGACTTTGACGTTCACGTGCTACCCCCACGCAGGGTCGTTGCAAACGCCAGTCCTCAGTGCTTTCTTTTGTTTGTTCAGGAACTTCGGGAGCGAGTCTTACGCGGGAAATACCGCATCCCCTTCTATATGTCCACCGACTGTGAAAACCTTCTGAAGAAATTGTTAGTGCTGAATCCCATTAAAAGAGGCAGCTTGGAAGTAAGTCGTTTTTGTGCTCCAGGTTTAACTTGTTGTTTTTATTTTTATATCCTGGTTATCTGAATTTTTATGTGTCTAGGTTTTTTATTAGAGAGAAACTGAAAAACTTCTGGGCGATTCCATCTCTTTCTAGTCTTGAACTAGGAGGAACTGTGTTACCTTTAAAAACAATGCAAAATTTGAGCAAAAGCAAGACTACTTTTTGCCCTTTTTCTGTCTTCTTTGGTAATTCTCAAAAAGTATTTTAACACCTTTTTAGTTGTAGCTCAGATAATCTTAAGCATCTTATTGATGTCTGGCTAGTGTAAGTGATGGTACTGCCATTCCTCTTCCTCCTACTAATAACCTCTTCTTAAAAAAGGAAAATATAAACTCAGAAGCACATGATGGGCTTTACAAAAGTGGAACCCATTTAAGAAAAGTTATTTCCATCTGGCCATTCCAAAGTCCATCTCTTTTCTCTGTACACCTAAGTGTAAGGTGTGTACTTCCATTGCTCATTTGCTTACTTCCTCATCATTCATCTGCATGAATTAATTTGTTAGAATGTCCCAGCAAGCAGTCATTCATGTCTATAGGCAGTGGTGTCTAAAGTAAACTTTCTTTTGTTAAGTTTGGAATCCTGTTTGACTTATTGTCTCTCATTTTGAAGTGGTTGAATGTTCTGGTTGGCCAAACATAATGTAGAAATTATTTCCTAGCAAATAATGAAAGATCGGTGGATGAATGTTGGTCACGAAGAAGAAGAACTAAAGCCGTATACTGAGCCTGAACCAGATTTCAATGACACAAAAAGGATAGGTAAGTATTTAAATGCTGTGAGAGGTGTTGACCCTAGGCTGTAAGTAAGGGTCCTTTAGTCTACTAAAATAGCATTTAAAAATATAAATAGAAAGCCATTTTTATTTGAAAAATACCTGCTCTATCATTTTTCTTTCCCCAGATATACACTAATCATTGCAAATTTCAAGTTCCTTAGTTTGTTCTCATGCATATTATAATCTAAGTCAAGTGTTGGCAACAGTAATACACAAATGAAAATGATGTAGATAAATCTCTTTCCTTTCAGCAATTTCTAACAGGAGGAATGACTGATTCAGCATTGATCAGACTGACATCAGCCAAACATAGCATATATTTCAACCAAAAACACAGAGGCCCTGAGCTAATAGGGCCCTCGCTTTGTGTTTTCTGTGTCTCATCAGCGTCCACCCTCCCTGCCCAGCCCCAAGCCGCTGCCAGACAGTTTTCTTTGTTTCTCTCTCCCTTCCCACAGCCTTTAGGAACTCAAAACAAAGTCATCTCAACTGTGCTCCTGTCTGGCTTAACGACAAAGGGAGGAACATTCTAGGGTGTTAGGACTCTGCTCAGGACAACTGTGGAATTCTAGCCTCCCAAGGAGGACTCAACCTGCCTTCAGATCAGAAAGCAGAGAGTGTTCAGAGATGGGAGAGACCACTCCATGGGAGGCTGAGGGTGTGTTGAGTGACAGAGGAAAAAGGGATTTTGTGTGTCACAGACAGATATTGTGAGTCTGGATGGACAAAGGAATTCAGCTCGGGAATGTGCTAGGCAGTGAGAAAGGGAATGGGCCCAATCATTTGTAACTCATGATATAGATATTCTCTGCATGAAAAATTGTGAACATATAGTATCCGAATATACGGTTTCCATGTGTTAATAATCTAAAAGTCTTCATAATTGATATTCCACTTTAAAATTTTAGAACTTAGTTTTCATATCTAATGTTGGCAAGCTTGGCCAATTTTTATTCATTTGCTTACTAAAATAAACCCATTTTCATAAAACTTGCATTTTTTTTCAAATTTCCAGATGTCATGGTCACCATGGGTTTCGCACGAGATGAGATAAATGATGCCTTAATAAATCAGAAATATGATGAAGTCATGGCTACTTACATTCTTCTAGGTAGAAAACCACCTGAAGTAAGTTTTTCACATTTTTAGATTAATATAAATCATTTTTTGAACTAGTGATGGCTAAGTATCTATATATATAAAAGCCTAAGCGACCATTCGACTGTTTGACTGGTAGCTATGATGCGCACTGACCACCAGGGGGCAGACGCTACTGGTAGGTTAGCTTGCTGTGGGGTCAGGCAGATCAGGACTGGGCAAAACGGCCCAGACACGCCCTGTAGCCCCTCCCTCAGTCCCTCCCCAGACAACTGTGCAGTCCCTCAGCCTGGCCTGCACCCTCTCGCAATATGGGACCCCTCGGGTGATGTTGGAGAGCTGCAGGCCAGGCTAAGGGACCCCACCAGTGCACGAATCCGTGCACCAGGCCTCTAGTAAGATATAATGTTAGCAGATATATTCTGTGTGGTATCAGAAATAGCATAAAGACCCTACCATTTCTTATGTGTTAGAATTCAAAACTCAAAAGGTGCCAAGTTATGAACCCATTTCATCTCTGAGTACCAAGAGATTCTATTATGAAAAAGCAAGCCTGGTGCCTTAGCCCCAAGGGGTACCATTCACAGTCTAGGCTTTGAGATGGAATCCCCTAGAGTTGTGCACCTAAATGCAACAGCCCCGCCAAAGGTAGCATGGTACCTCTGGGTTTGCAGAAAAGACAGTGACCAAAATAAGAGGAAGTGACAGCATTTACAACCAAGTGTACATCATGTCTTCTATGATTTGTATAGGTGGGGACCCAGAAAAACGTTGGTGACATTGTACCTTATAAAAAGTTAAGTGGCTTTGATGCATCCCATTGGGAATTCTCGAGGCCAGGACAGATCTATTGTGAGCTAGATTTAGGAAGTAGCTGTGTGCAAATGGCGATTGAACTTTTAAAGCAAATGATCCTTTGGGACGGCAGATATAAGAGTTAAATCGAATGTCAAGAACAAAGCCTAAAACATTGAAGGTTTGTTGAAAACTTGACATCTGTGGGGGGCATTTTATAAAATAGACTGAAATCACTTCTAGTTAGTTAGTAACTGTTAGGGAAGCAGTGCATTCGGCTGACTTGGGGTCATTGAGGGTTAAATGAATGAATGCTCCTGAAGTCCTTACAACGGTTCCTGTGTGCCCTGTGTTCGCTGGTATCTATTAATTTCATCAGCATCACCCTGCTGTTTGTCATTGGCATCTTTACACATGAGTTCAGGATACCCATTGGGATGTGGGATTCAGTAAACAAACATCTTTTATGTTAGAGAGAGGGATAATGTCTCAATCCCCAATACCTCACTTAGTTCTACAAAGGTGCAATTTCTTGATCAGAGCCAGTAAACCAAACTTGGTTCTGTAAATGTGGTGGAGAAAACAAAACAAAGAAGTCCATGCACACATGTGTGCGTATAAAGTTAAACTTTTAGATTTTATCTTGACTTTGAATCCAGAGATGTCCCTTGACCCTTTTTTTAAAAAAATATTTTTTTTATTGATTTCAGAGAGGAAGGGAGAGGGAGGGAGAGAGAGAGAGAAAGAGAGAGAGAGAGAGACATCAGTGATGAGAGAGAATCATCTATTGGCTGCCTCCTGCACGCCCCCTACTGGAGATTGAGCCTGCAACCTGGGCATGTGCCCTGACCAGGAATCAAACCGCAACCTCCTGGTTCATAGGTTGACGCTCAACCACTGAGCCATGCCGGCCAGGCTCTGTTGACTCTTAATCTCAATTTTTATAAAGTGCAGATTTTTTATATATATATATATTTTATTGATTTTTTACAGAGAAGAAGGGAGAGGGATAGAAAGTCAGAAACATCGATGAGAGAGATCGATCAGCTGCCTCCTGCACACCCCCTCCTGGGGATGTGCCCGCAACCAACGTACATGCCCTTGACCAGAATCGAACCTGAAACCCTTGAGTCCACAGGCCGACGCTCTATCCACTGAGCCAAACCAGTTCGGCAAGTGCAGATTAATAGCCCTGACCAGTTTGGCTCAGTGGATAGAGCGTCAGCCTGCGGACTGAAGGGTCCCAGGTTCGATTCCGGTCAAGGGCATGTACCTTGGTTGCGGGCACATCCCCAGTAGGGAGTGTGCAGGAGGCAGCTGATCGATGTTTCTCTCTCATCGATGTTTCTAACTCTCTATCCCTCTCCCTTTCTCTCTGTAAAAAATCAATAAAATATATTTAAAAAAAGAAATAAAGTGCAGATTAATAAATCATAGGTTTTTCGGTAATGATTGAAAAAAGTGACCAATATAAAGAGCTGAGCACAGTCTATAACCGCCGTTCAATGATTGGTAGCAATCATTGGTGTTTTGACTAAACTAAGGCCCCAAAGCCTTTTCCTTCCCTTCCTGTTTGCCGACTTGCAGTTCTGCACCCAGATTATTTTTGTTTTTTAAGTTCTGGCTACTCCTTGTGTGGCTTGGAATAGATGAGAAAAAATCCAGAGTGCGTATCGTTTGCATGAACATTTTAGTGTTTTGAACCCTGGTGGTCTTTCTTCTTCTTGCAGTTTGAAGGCGGTGAGTCATTATCCAGTGGCAACTTGAGTCAGAGGTCGAGGCCCAGTAGTGACCTAAACAACAGCACCCTCCAGTCCCCCGCTCACCTGAAGGTCCAGAGGAGCATCTCGGCCAATCAGAAGCAGCGGCGCTTTAGCGATCATGGTGGGGAAAGTCAAATCAGTGCAAACAGACCGATTCCATCCAGATCGTGTTTTCTAGGCATCATACATTCACACCTTCATGTGCCTGTGTCACCCCTGTCACCGCAGGCTCTGTCCGTGAATGACAAGTAGCATCCCCTCTACAGGGACCGGCCTGATTTTTGTAATTAAACAGTTTCATCTTCCTTGAGAGTGAAAATATGCAAATAGAGATCTTTTTAACACGGAGTATTTGTTCGTAAGGAAAAGATACGTCAATTGTTTTGTAGCTTATTAGGCTTTTTTTTTTTAATTATAGCTGGTCCATCCATCTCCGCGGCCGTATCGTACACAAAGAGGCCTCAGGCCAACAGTGTGGAGAGTGAGCAGAAAGATGAGTGGGACAAGGACGGGGCAGCGCGCAAACTCGGCAGCACGACTGTGGGATCGAAGAGCGAGGTGACCACCAGCCCGCTCGTGGGGCCGGAGAGGAAAAAGGCGTCCACTATCCCGAGCGTGAGTGGACCGTCGGGTCTGGGGCAGCTTGGGGTGGTCATCTGTTGTCAGGAGTTTTCGTTTAAAGATTTTTTTTTAATGTTTCACAATTTTAAAGTGAATCGTGCGTTTCAAGAACATGCAAAAAGGGCCAAGCTTCTCGTAAATGCAATTTAGGAACAAAAAGATAAGATACGAATTATTTACATTACACCAAACCTCATCACAGAATGGCACATTAAACTCTCCTCATTTCCCCATGTGTAATATGTACTTCATGTTATGTTGGCTCATTGAATTTTATGTTTACAAGTAAGGTGTTCGATGAAGGCAGACTCTGTTAGTATTTATAAATTTAGCTCGCATCAGTCACTTAAACCAGCAAACTAGAAAGTATATAATGGGAGCTAGAAGAGAGATTGAGACATTTTCCTGTAAGGCAGCAGGAAAGAATAAAGAGAAAAGAACACTAAAATATATAGTATATATCTATTAACTTTCCAGCTAGACCTCATGATTAAACCCATTATAAGCTAATTATGTATTTTTAAGATCCATGAAAGCTGGATCAGCCAAAAATAAATAGGGCAAGTTTTGTCTATTAGAGTAAGGATTACACAGAAGGGGATTCATCCCTTTTGAGAATAATTTCTGTGCAGTTCAGTACTAGTTACTGTGAAGGGTGGGGCAGGGTGCTGTGGGCGGCAAGGAGAATCGGTCCCTTTTTACTTCCGCCTTTTTTCTCCAGAGCTTCTCAGCCTTGGCTTGCCTCCGGCTCAAACCTGAAATGAGGAAGTATCCTCAGAGTGGCACTGCTCGCCCCGCGTGCCTTTGACCATGAGCTGTATTCTCCTTAGCATTACCATTGGCCAGCCTGCCATGGTCACTACCACGGGTTTCCCGTTGGTGCTAATGTTTATGTAGAGTTGTCTCTCATTCCTGGTCCCATAAAGCTGCCTTTGTCCCCTCGCCTGTCCTTGTCCCCACCCCCAGCTTACAGATGAGAATAAAAACTCAGCTTTCCAGTTGCTTCCCAACAACTGCTCAGCTGCTGCCTTGGGGCGGTGAGCTGAGGCTGGGCCGAGTGTGTGCCCCACCTTTCACCCCTACAGTCCGCCTGAGAGAGAGGGTGTGACATAGGGCTCATTCATATACCTACAGTCCGCCTGAGAGAGAGGGTGTGACATAGGGCTCATTCAAAACCTACAGTCCGCCTGAGAGAGAGGGTGTGACATAGGGCTCATTCATACCTACAATCCACCTGAGAGAGAGGGTGTGACATAGGGCTCATTCATATACCTACAGTCCGCCTGAGAGAGAGGGTGTGACATAGGGCTCATTCATACACCTACAGTCCACCTGAGAGAGAGGGTGTGACATAGGGCTCATTCATACCTACACTCCACCTGAGAGAGAGGGTGCGACATAGGGCTCATTCATATACCTACAATCCACCTGAGAGAGAGGGTGTGACATAGGGCTCATTCATACCTACAGTCCACCTGAGGGAGAGGGTGTGACATAGGGCTCATTCATATACCTACAGTCCGCCTGAGAGAGAGGGTGCGACATAGGGCTCATTCATATACCTACAGTCTGCCTGAGAGAGAGGGTGTGACATAGGGGTCATTCATACCTACAGTCCGCCTGAGAGAGAGGGTGTGACATAGGGCTCATTCATACACCTACAGTCCGCCTGAGAGAGAGGGTGCGACATAGGGCTCATTCATACACCTACAGTCCGCCTGAGAGAGAGGGTGTGACATAGGGCTCATTCATACACCTACAGTCCGCCTGAGAGAGAGGGTGTGACATAGGGCTCATTCATACCTACAGTCCACCTGAGAGAGAGGGTGCGACATAGGGCTCATTCATACACCTACAGTCCGCCTGAGAGAGAGGGTGTGACATAGGGCTCATTCATACACCTACAGTCCGCCTGAGAGAGAGGGTGTGACATAGGGCTCATTCATACACCTACAGTCCACCTGAGAGAGAGGGTGTGACATAGGGCTCATTCATACACCTACAGTCCGCCTGAGAGAGAGGGTGCGACATAGGGCTCATTCATACACCTACAGTCCGCCTGAGAGAGAGGGTGTGACATAGGGCTCATTCATACACCTACAGTCCGCCTGAGAGAGAGGGTGCGACATAGGGCTCATTCATACCTACAGTCCGCCTGAGAGAGAGGGTGCGACATAGGGCTCATTCATACCTACAGTCCGCCTGAGAGAGAGGGTGTGACATAGGGCTCATTCAAAACCTACAGTCCGCCTGAGAGAGAGGGTGTGACATAGGGCTCATTCATACCTACAGTCCACCTGAGAGAGAGGGTGCGACATAGGGCTCATTCATACACCTACAGTCCGCCTGAGAGAGAGGGTGCGACATAGGGCTCATTCATACACCTACAGTCCGCCTGAGAGAGAGGGTGTGACATAGGGCTCATTCAAAACCTACAGTCCGCCTGAGAGAGAGGGTGTGACATAGGGCTCATTCATACCTACAGTCCACCTGAGAGAGAGGGTGCGACATAGGGCTCATTCATACACCTACAGTCCGCCTGAGAGAGAGGGTGTGACATAGGGCTCATTCATACCTACAGTCCACCTGAGAGAGAGGGTGTGACATAGGGCTCATTCATACACCTACAGTCCGCCTGAGAGAGAGGGTGTGACATAGGGCTCATTCATACACCTACAGTCCGCCTGAGAGAGAGGGTGTGACATAGGGCTCATTCATACACCTACAGTCCGCCTGAGAGAGAGGGTGTGACATAGGGCTCATTCATACCTACAGTCCACCTGAGAGAGAGGGTGTGACATAGGGCTCATTCATACCTACAGTCCGCCTGAGAGAGAGGGTGTGACATAGGGCTCATTCATACCTACAGTCCACCTGAGAGAGAGGGTGTGACATAGGGCTCATTCATACCTACAGTCCGCCTGAGAGAGAGGGTGTGACATAGGGCTCATTCATACCTACAGTCCGCCTGAGAGAGAGGGTGTGACATAGGGCTCATTCATATACCTACAGTCCGCCTGAGAGAGAGGGTGTGACATAGGGCTCATTCATACACCTATAGTCCGCCTGAGAGAGAGGGTGTGACATAGGGCTCATTCATACCTACAGTCCACCTGAGAGAGAGGGTGCGACATAGGGCTCATTCATATACCTACAATCCACCTGAGAGAGAGGGTGTGACATAGGGCTCATTCATACACCTACAGTCCGCCTGAGAGAGAGGGTGTGACATAGGACTCATTCATATACCTACAGTCCGCCTGAGAGAGAGGGTGTGACATAGGGCTCATTCATACACCTACAGTCCGCCTGAGAGAGAGGGTGTGACATAGGGCTCATTCATATACCTACAGTCCGCCTGAGAGAGAGGGTGTGACATAGGGCTCATTCATACACCTACAGTCCGCCTGAGAGAGAGGGTGTGACATAGGGCTCATTCATATACCTACAGTCCGCCTGAGAGAGAGGGTGTGACATAGGGCTCATTCATACCTACAATCCACCTGAGAGAGAGGGTGTGACATAGGGCTCATTCATACCTACAATCCACCTGAGAGAGAGGGTGTGACATAGGGCTCATTCATACAAGATTCTGGTCAATGAAAATCCGACCATACGTGTGTATGTGTGTGTTTTTTTGAGTCATTTGCAGCTTCCATTTATTTCTTTGACTTTCCACAACTGCAGCTAGGATTTTAAAATGGCTTTTCTTTTCTGTTTTAAAGAACAACGTATATGCTGGAGGAAGCATGGCAAGAAGGAACACGTATGTCTGTGAAAGGACCACAGACCGCTACATGGCCCTGCAAAATGGAAAAGACAGCAGGTAAGCGTCACAGTGCTTACCCGAGAATAATTTCTATGCAGTTCAGTACTAGTCACTAGCGAAGGGTGGGGCTCCACTGTTATTGTGCTACAATCAACTGCTCATGGGTCAAGAGGGAAGGAAATACAGAATAGTAAGATTGCAGCCAGTCATTCTTTCTTTATATAGTATATTTTTATTGATTTCAGAGAGGAAGGAAGAGGGAGAGAGAGAAACATCAACAATGAGAGAGAATCTTGATCAGCTGCCTTCTGCACGCCCCCTATTGGGGATCGAGCCTGCAACTGGGGCATGTGCCCTGACTGGGAAACTGAACCGTGATCTCCTGATTCATAGGTTGATACTCAACCACTGAACCACGCTGGCCTAGCAACAGCCAACCATTCTTACTAGGGGGAATATTTAGGGAAAACAGGAGGTAAATCTCTTAACCTGAGAATTTTCTTCTAAAATATTCTCTAATCCGATCTTCATAACATGGATCTCATTCTCTTATATGCCTGCTGCTTCCTTCTTACCTCCTTCCCTTTCCCCCTCCCTCAAGTCATAACTATATCCAAATCCCAAAGGCGTGGTTTTTCTTCCTCTACAGAAATGTGGCCATCTCAGCTGATCCTTGAGAACCATGCAATTCTCAGTGTTTTATTTTAAATAATGATAAACCATATTTTTATTATTTAAAAAATTTAGCTTTTTTTCATCATGAGTTATAATACAGAACTATTCATCAATATAATACAAAAGGGCATGGAGTTCATCTAATAAAATTCTGTGCTGAGTTCCATCCTTAGTCATTTCAGTAGACTACACAGACCATTCTTACATTTGTTTCCTCTCAGTTAATAGACACTGTATGTCATAGAAATGGATCTTCTTGGACTTAAGATCCCTTAGGTTAAAAGAATAGTTGGGAATTGATTTCTGACTTCTTATTTTTCCTGTACTAAGCCCTCATCTGGAGTTTCTTTAATCTGCAACAGTTAACCTATTGATTCATGATAGGAACAGAAAGTGCTTTAATAATACTTCCAGCAATAGTATTTTTGCTATAATTTTGAATTCTTTTTGTATAACGGGCAGTGACCCAAGGCAGCACATCACACCACACTGTGATTTTTGGAAAGGGAAAAATATCCCCAGTCACAATCATTTTATCCATAAAAATCATTTCAGACCGTCTCCGAATCACTTACTGAAGGAGGGTAAGTGTGGGTGAGGTCCTTATTGCCCACCCTATACATCGTTCCCAAGAACATTGACTTGTCGGTCACTACTCATGCCATTAGTGCTAACTTCTTTTAAGTGTTGTAGTCATGAAAGGTGTTAGTCAGTTTACTCTAAAAAATGTAGTTCTTAAATGTTAGTGACCTGCCGCTTCTCTGCGTTTGTTCCATGTGCAAAGCCTCACGGAGATGTCGGCCAGCAGCTTGTCTTCTGCCGGCTCCGCCGTGGCCCCTGCTGTCCCCTCGGCTCGGCCCCGCCACCAGAAGTCCATGTCCGCCTCCGGTCACCCGATCAAAGTCACACTGCCAACCATTAAAGACGGCTCCGAAGCTTACCGACCCGGGTAACGTGCTGGCTGCATTTCATTTTGTTTGTTAAAGAACTTTTTAAATATGTTTTTATTGATTTTAGAGAGAGGTAGGGAGAGGGAGAGAGAGATAGAAGCATCAGTGATGAGAGAGAAACATTGATCAGTTGCCTCCTGGATGCCCCCTACTGGGGATAGAGCCTGCAGCCCAGGCATGTGTCCTGACCAGGAATCCAACCGTGACCTCCTAGTTCATGGGTTGATGTTCAACCACTGACCCACACCAGCCAGGCATTTAACTTTTTTAAAAAGAAAAGAAATAGTAATAAAGAGTTCTTATTGCCTTTAAAAAACAAAAAGTGGGCATAGCAAGTTGTGTCTAGTTTGGAGTGGGAGCTTCCTGGGCCGTTACTCTGAATAGTGCGCTGTGACTTGTCCCCACAGGACCACCCAGAGAGTGCCTGCCGCGTCCCCGTCTGCCCACAGTATTAGTGCCAGCACCCCAGACCGAACCCGCTTTCCCCGCGGCAGCTCCAGCCGCAGCACCTTCCACGGGGAGCAGCTCCGGGAGCGGCGCAGCGCCGCCCACGCCGGGCCCCCCGCGTCTCCGTCCCACGAAAGCGGGGCCTTTGCCCACGCCCGGAGGGGCACATCCACCGGCCTCATCAGCAAGATCACCTCCAGATTCGTTCGCAGGTCAGTCCCGCGGGCTCCGGTGTGCGGTGGCCTCCGGGGATTAGAAAGGAAGTGTGTTTGGGGCTTTTCTTTCCTCTTTATAGTGATTTTTCAAAGTGGTTTCATGACATTTCATGAGAGCTGCTCTTTTGCAGAAGTTTGAAGAAAAAAATGAAGGAAGACAAAATCTTTTCCCTTAAGAGAAAGAAGAAAAACGGACAAAATGAGAATTAAAAATTTTTCTAGAGTGGAAAGAGCAAAACTTGACCTCAAAAATGTGTTTTAAAAGCCTTAATTTAGAAAAGGGATTGAAATAGGAGTTTACATTTATCCTTTAAATTGCTCACTAATAATAGTTTCCCTCTTTCTCTTTCTTGTAAAAAGCCTATATATATAGCTGCATAGATTTCTTATGTAATTTAACATCATAAAATCTTAACCTCAGTAAACACAAAATGAATAGCAAACTTCTGATCTAGTAAAATAGTAAAACTGCACTCTCCTGAGAAAGCAAGCATGAGCGTGCAATGCACATTAATTATACGGGATGCTGACCACAGTGCAGATTGATGTAAATTTGATGTGACTGGGTCCCTGCGGTCCCCTTCCCAAGACCTGCATCCCTGGCTGCTCCTGTGCCTCCTTCAGGTCCTTGCTGAAATGCCACTTCCCCCGGAAGGCCTTCCCCCACCCTCTGTGTAAAATCACAGCTCTTCCTCCCAACGCTGCGGGTCCCTGCTTCATTCCTCTGCAGAGCCCTAACGCTCCAAAATAATAGATGCGCTTTATTTATTTGTCCATTGTCTCCCAGCCAGAAGGTGAGAACAGGGACTTGTTTGTTTGCTTTCTTTTATGCCGAATCTTCTGCTGAATATTGAGTGCCTACCGTGGCGCGTAATATGCCGTTCAGTAAACATTATTGGGTGAACAAATGAATAGTGTGGGAAGCAAACGAAAAACTAAGTTGTAGTAAGTTCTGGTAAATTCTAGAAGGAAGCAGGTCCTGAAATCGAGAATGAGGTGGAGGCAATGAGGGTGTTCAGACACAGCCTCCGATGGCAGCTGGCATGGAAGTTTCTAAGGTTCCATGATGCTCTTCTTCATGGTGCTCATATTCGTGTCCTTTGAACAGTTTTCTGGGCCGAGGGGGAGAGAAAGAGAGGGAGGAGATTGTGATGTTTTGTCAGCAGTTTGGCAGGTTATTTTCAGGGTCTTGGTTTTAAACACATTTCAATCAATTCTGGATTTGGTTAGAGAAGAGGAAAATGCTCCATTCTCCTGCAAGGCCACGTGTCACCGTGGGAATGAGCAGCCTTGGCATTGCTAAAGTGCTTGCGCTTGGGCTGTGTCATCTACCACAAGTGACTTCATGCAGGAAGACACGCCAGTCACTGGTTTCAGTCCCAGGAATGAACCTGCTAAGTCCTCTGGCAAGTGGCAGACTGGAGATGCAGTTGCTCTCTGCAGTCACAGCATATTGACCTTTGGGAGGGGGGCGGTGTTGGAGGCTTGGAGATAAGCTAGAGAATTTCTCAAGGTTCAGGATATAGTCTAGCCTTATTATTTAACTAGAGGCCCAATGCACGAAGATTCGTGCAAGAATGGGCCTTCCTTCCCCTGGCTGCTGGCACTGCCTTCGCTCTGGCCCGAGCTGCCTTTCTGCCTTCCCACGCTACCCAGAGGCTCAGAGCGGCTGGAGTGGTGCCTGCATATGCAAATTAATCCGCCATCTTTGTTGGGTTAATTTGCATACTCCTGATTGGCTGTGGGCGACGTGAAGGTACGGTCAGTTTGCATCTTTCTCTTTTATTAGTGTAGATATTTTCAACTCATCTCTCATGTGATCCATTCTTTCTCTTTATTTCTCCTTCTGAAGTCCATCCTGGGCTCAAGCCCTATATCTCTCTGGTTCCTTTTGCCTTTCTCCCTTCCCTTTGGCTAAGGCCTGAAGAAGTGGAACCCACACACGGACACCCTCTGTGACCAGAACTGGGTGTTCTCGGGGTCATTTTGGGAGCCAAGATGCCTCACAAACTTTGGGACCAACCAAGTTGGTGTGCCATTAAATGCTTAGGTGAAAAAGTGGGGTTTTCATAGGGGGAAAAGTAAAGGAATTGGGCTTGCTGAGCATTAAGAAGGGAAGGATAGGAATGGGGGTGAGCTCATGATTCATGTATTTGGAAACCAGTATTCCAAAGAGGAAGCTGGGGGGGGTAGCTCTTCCTGGCCAGTAGGAAGACTGTTCACCAAAATGACCACCTGAGAGTATTGCTTTCTGGTCTTAGGAAAGCGATTTACCCTGGAATCATCGATCAAGGGAGATGGAGATGATTTATTTCAAAGTCTTTTAAATAGTTTTTAGACCCATGTGCTGTGGGTAGGTTCTCTATACTGATTCTGTAAGCTGGAAATTGAATCACACCTGATGATTTCTTTTTTAATCCTCACCTGAGGATATGTTCTTATTGATTTTTAGAGAGAGAGGATGTGGAGAGAGAGAGAAATATCCATGAGAGAGAGAAACATCAATCGGTTGCCTTCCATATGCACCCCGATGGGGATTGAACCCACAACCTAGGTATGAGCCCTGACCAGGAATCGAACCCACCACCTTTCAGTGTACAGGACAGTGCTCCTATTTATGGAGCCTCCCGGCTAGTACAAACCTGATGATTTTTTCACCATAGCCCACTCTTATATGGGGATGCTTAAAACATTAACTTCAACGTTCAAGTGGATCATTTTCCCCAGCTGTTTATTAATATTTTGCTATCACAAGCCACCTCTTCATATATTTAAATGGGTTTACAACTTGATACTCCTATGTCAGTATTTGATTAACTTTGAAAATGACAAAGTAGTTAAAATTTTGGTAGATTTTTAAAATAGCAATTACATTCAACAAAAGGACAATTAGTAGAGTTTTCCTGGCTTTCTTTCACAGGTGGATATCCAGGTAAGATCAATGTCTCTGTTTAAGATTGAGTTCATGTTTTTAGACTCACCTGCTTGGGTAGGCTGTTCATTTGCTGTAATATTTTATCATGTGCATGAATCGTTAGCTTAACTTCTGAAATAAGTTAACTGCTTATTTAAAAATTGGTACTTATTTTTAGAAATACTGATATATGTGTTGAGCTTTATTTCTAACTACTAGGTTAATGTGTATGTTTTCTAAAATTGAGCGACTACTAGAATTCTTTTTCATAACAAATACGCAGTTGAATCTTGCTGTTGATAATTATTCAATAGTTTTAACTTTAGGTTGAACTAAACTAAACCAAAAAATAAATTATAACTTTAAAATCATGTCTGAGAATTGGAAGATCATGTATAAAAAAAATCCTAAACCATCACCCAGCATTTCCTCCCTGACAATACCCAGTAGACGCTCAATGAGTGGCAGTTCAGTGTGGTTATGTTGAAAAACATGAGAAACAGTATTAGACTGACGAGTCACAGAAACTGTCATGCTAGAAGTTGGCTCAACAAGTTAATTTTAAAATCATTTCAGATGTAGGTTTTCTTGATCTATTTTTCACTCTTATCATTAAATCTCAACCTTCACTTTGTTTTGAGGGATCCAAGTGAAGGCGAAGCCAGTGGCAGAACAGACACCTCAAGGTGAGGAGCCACTATTAACCCTTCGCTGCCAGGGCCCGTGTATGCAAACGTGCTTTTGAAATACCGACAGCACTTCCTAAAATGAATAGAATGAATCACTAGCTAGTATGTGTATTTTAAATGTTTATATTGGGATGGGTTTCCCTCCTGTTGCCTAGCATTTAATTACGTGTAAGTTAATTAACTGTAAGTTTGTGTTTTCCAAACATGATTTTGAATTGTATGCTTTGTAGAGACATGGCCTTTCTGTCCTGTAATAGATGTGTTGGCGAAAGAATGAATAGATTAAAATGTACTGATCCTTTTCTCACTAAAACGATGTCACTAATATTAGTCTTAAATAGCATAGATCACTGAGGTAACCAAGTCCATGGGAAGATTTGATATTAGTGATATACTTCAGGTGAGTGTTCGGCTATAGGCCACGTGTGGAAATGCTTTGTGGCATGCTTTGTGGTTTTGTGACTTTTAATACTGGTTGTGTCTTCGACCTGGCGACAGGTCTCAAACTTGAGCATAGTCGGAACTTGATTAAACGGATGGCTGGGTCCCACTCTCAGGGTTTGTGATGGGCAGCCTGGGGACTGGGGACCACATTAATGACATGTTTTTACTACTTGTGTTTACATTTATAAATGAGAAATTTAAGGAACAAAGGCACGAAATTAGTTTGTGTGAACACCTGCCCCGCTTCCTTCAGGAATAATTTTTGACCAGTTGAACACAAGCCTCGATTTAATTTCTACTTTTTAAAATGACTTGGGATATAAAACATCATGAGCTTTGGGAAAAACTTGATTGAACATTCCAAGGTAGTTCTTTTTACAAACTGCACTGTATTTATGTTTAGTCATAATGGTTGAAATGATTCTTCATGGAGGTAGGTACCTGAGTCACACCGTGGAAGGGAGCCAGAGGCAGGCAACACAAAGGACTTACGTCATCCCACATTTAGTCATCACTTCTGAGCCCCCTTCTGGAGTCTTCCCCTCTGTTTTCTAAACTTCCCTCTGAGACATTTAGTAGTGGACCGTGTCATAGGCGCCTGCTAATATTTCAGTTCATTGGCATGGTTTCGTTTTTGTTTGTTCTTTTGCTTTTGAACAAACTTTTTGAATCCATCCTATCTCTACAGTACTTGCTAGTCATTGAATCCACACAACCACCAGGAGGAAAGTGTCCCATTTTACAGAAGAGACAGTGGGGAGCCTAGGAGGGACCAGGCCAGTGCTGATAAGTCTCTGTCTTTGCAGAGAGATGTGGGGCATGATGGTGAATAGCATGGGCTCTTGAGCCCAGACCGTGTGGGGTGAGCTGTGTTCTTCTACCAGTTCCCAGGATGATCTGTGTGACTTTAGAAGAGTGATTCTACCTCTTTGTGCCCCTAGTTCCTCATTCTGACCGCCACAGGGTGGTTGTGAGGGGCGAACGAGGAATTAGCACATGTGAGGCAGGTAGAACAGCTCCTGGCATGGAGTAAGTGCTCGATAAAGGACAGATGTGGTTATTACTATAATACTTCCAGGAGCTTCTGAGTTAACGTTGGCACTGGGGATGCCCTTGAGATACACCCAGAAAATGTCTCGGATGTGCCTGTTGTCTGAAGCTCACCAAGTTTCCTGGGTGGAACGCAAGGAAAATTAGACTTGGAATAAGACATCTGATTTCTAGTCTTTCTTTTAAGTCATTAGCTGTATGAGCTTTAAAAAGTAATTTAAGTTTCCTAGCCATCAGTTCTGTTTTTAAAATGAGTGGTCGATCACGTGATCTCTTGGGTCCCTTCCAGCCCCAGCATGCTGACCCATGGCCTGAGTGTGCGTGTGCTCCTGGTAAATGTCTCTGCTTGGATCTGCACATTTCTGGAGGCCCGGGGCTCAGGGTCAGAGAGCAGAAAGAGAATGCTGGAGAAGGCATTGGGATAATGAGCTCCATACTTAGTTCAGAGTCTTTGGAGGTTTCTTTTCTCTACTTATTTCTTTCCTTATTTTTTTTTCAAGCTTGCATAGTTTGCAGAGCTTTGGGCGTTCAGATGCCTAGGAATGAGGGGGAAATATAAGTATGCACGTATCCCTGAAAATTCATATATAAATGTATATATAAATGTATACATGAGTATACATTATAGGATAATATTGATATAAAATGTTTAATATATGTAGATAGTAGATTATACTTTAAAAATATACCACTACGTTAAATCATATGTAGGTGAGATGGGTTAGCGAATTAGAATTATAACATCTATATTTGAATAATCACTCATTAAATTTAATTACAGGGTATTCTGAATCATAAAATCTACTTTTACCTCTCTGATTCTGTGAAATGGGCTGTCTGGTTCTGTATTATTCATGGGAGATCTACAGTAAGGAAAATTCAGTGAGGTTGATGCGCTTAAGAAATACGTGTCAGTCATCTACTCTGGTGGAGGGAACAGCCTGTGCGAAAGCCTCAAGGCCAGACCAGACGCTGTAGGTTCCAGGAATAGTATGGAGGCCAGTGTGTGGGGGGGAGTGAGCGAAGAGGACAGTCGCAGCGGTGAGGGTCGGGGCGAGGAGCTGGGGTGTAGGTGTGTGGAGCCTTGTAGACCGTGTTGAGGATGTCTTCAGCAAAGCATGGACACGATTCGAGGCCCCGATGCCCACACTCCTGTGTGTGGTACGACCTGGCATCTTCACCTCATTGCAATACCAGCTTCTTTCTTCATTATCAGGTAGAAGTAACCCCTCTGTGGCCATTGCTACCGTGCTGTCCCAAGTCTTTCTCCTATCCCCCCAAAAAAAGATAGAGAAGGGGAAATTTTTCTTTATGTTTCAAAATTGTATATTTACAAGCACAGTGCTAGTGGGCTCTCTTCTTGTACAAATGTACAGAAAATGAAGATTGGGCTTTTGCAAATTGAAACAAAACTATGGAAGGACCTCAAAATGTATTCAGTTCTTCACTTCCGGCGGCAAACTTGTTCCCACAAAAAATGTACCTTTACGGAAACACGCTATTTTAGATGGAAGATATTAACAAAGTCAAAACAGAGGGCATCCTGGGGTCGGTTTTGTAACAGCAAGATGGCATGGACCTTTGCACTTGCCTGATGGTAGTTTGCAAAGTAGGTCATTTTTTGAAGCACTGAATTCTGACCCCTGAGAGTTTGTGTGTGTGTCGATTTCTTGCTGAGTGGAACTTTTCTCTGCATTCTCTCCCTGTGCCCTGTTCCTCCAGAAGTGCATCCGGGGACCCGAAAGAGAGAGACAAGGAAGAGGGGAAAGACCCCAAGCCACGCTCTCTGCGCTTCACCTGGAGCATGAAGACCACGAGCTCCATGGACCCCAATGACATGATGCGAGAGATCCGGAAAGTGTTAGATGCAAACAACTGCGATTACGAACAGAAGGAGAGGTTTTTGCTCTTCTGCGTCCACGGAGATGCCCGGCAGGACAGCCTCGTGCAGTGGGAGATGGAAGTGTGCAAACTGCCCCGGCTGTCGCTGAACGGGGTCCGCTTCAAGCGCATCTCTGGAACGTCAATTGCCTTTAAGAACATCGCATCTAAAATAGCCAATGAGCTCAAACTGTAAAGGAACTCCGCTTGGCAGGATCAGGGAAGACACATCCGAATGAGGTACAGTTCTCGAATGTACTGGGTACTGCCTAACGCGATTGGCCTGTGAATCACCCATGTAGAATTTGCCGTTAACACAATAAGGTTATACATAGTTATGAACTGTAAAATTAAAGTCAGTATGAACTATAATAAATATCTGTAGCTAAAAAAAGTAGGTTCACATGTACAGGTAAGTATATTGTGTATTTCTGTTCATTTTCTGTTCATAGAGTTGTATAATAAAACAGATGATTGCTTCAAAACTTGTATAGTTGTCTAGATTTCTGCACATAAATGTACGTTTGATGCTCTGAGTTGAAAATATTCTTCCCTGTTATTTACATTCTGGTGGGTTTTTAAAATTCTTACCTCCATCATGTAATTTTGAAGGTAATTGTGTCCAGAATTGAAAGTGCACAGAAGTAGTCTTTATGATTGTAGCATGGACTTTTAAAAAATTATTTTCAAGTCGTATTGAAATTGAAACCAGAAGCTGATCCCTAGATCGGCTTTATTCCACACAGAATTATTCCTGCTTATCTTTGCTCTTATCCTTGTTACCAGACAAGGTTTAGATGAGAAGTTACGACATGTTTACAGTGTTGGCACTTAGAGTTTTTAAAATAGAGTCCATGAAAATAAGTTATAGCTTTGCCTTGAGCTAACTAAGAAGTACTGAGGGGAAGTGAAAACCTACATCCAATGTCTTTTGAACTTGAAAGTGTTTTCTGACCCTCTGCTGCTCGTAGCAGCAAAATGAAAAAGAATCAATCCCTTATCTGGCTAGTATAGCGCAATAGGTTTGCTGCCTTCCCAATATCGCAGTGTCCTTGTGGGAATATAATAATAGCGGACTGTTTCATAGCACAACTCATCTTCCCAGTGTTGGTCAGTGCATCAATTAGGAAATAATGCCACCTCAGGAATTCACTGGCATTGGGGACGTTTGCCTCCTTCGCCCTCACCCTCTCCATCCACCCCCGACACAGTGGTATCTGTGAGTCCTTAGGAGACTGTGGAACAAAATATACTATTTATAACAGCATATTTTTGATTTAGCTCATGTGGTCGTTCATTTGGTTCCCACGTAACCTCTCTGTTTTTACGATTTTGCCAGATCTCTTGTATTTATTCCACCTCGTTAGGCCTATATCGTGCGGCTTTGTAATCAGGCGTTTGCCTCGTTTCCTTTCAGAATGAATGATCCCTGTGATGTAAAGCCACTAGTAAAGGTACATTTTAATACTCATTACTTGGTACGGAATTAGCCTTGGAGGTTGACTGTGCAATGTTATTGAATGTTGTAATGACTGTACTATCTTCCTACGGGCCCCCTCCGCACACTCCGGAGGCATAGAAAGTGTATTCAAATCTCACGAGTCTGCAGAACACGACAGCTGTGATAAATACTGTAATTCCAACCTAAATGAGACGGCTCTCGGTAGGGGACGTGCCATTCATTCCCGTGGCTTCCAGACTAGGGTGGGTTTTACCTTCTGTACTGGACTGTGATGTGGCTCTCTTCTGTACGGTTCTGTTCGAACACCAAGTGTATTTCTTTTTTTTTGCCTTAGCCAAGGGTGGTGTTTGGAAAAGACCTGTGTAGCCCCTTTTTAACCTCGTGTTCATTCCAGACAATTGATGCAAATTCCTCTCACTTCCACTGGTGCACTCTGAAATTTTACTTGAACAGTTCTCATAATAAAGCACTCGTCTTTCGCTCTTTGCCGGAATGTGGATGACCTGTTTTCTAGGGCAGAAGGGGGGTTTATGTCGTGTCTTCTCCATTCTGTTGGCAGGGGGTGGAGCTACGTAGGTTTTCAGGATGTTGTAACAGCAAGAAAACGTTCATCTCTGTATAGCGGTTCCTATTGTCTAAATGGTTTTATAAAAACAGACATCATGCCTTTTTCATCATTGGAACTGGTGTTTTTTATACTTTCTCTCTCTTCTGTGTTTGTGGGAAGGAAATTTACTTCAATATTTTTTATGAACTGAAAATGAAATCTTGATAGTCACTATTATTTTTAAAATTAAAAAAAAATGTTTATTGTCGAAAGTATTGCCTATGTCCCTTGGAGAGTCACTTTAGATTTTCAGTTTTATATATTCATAACAGCATACATTTTCTTGAAGATTTAGAAGAATTTTACAGTATGTTCGCATCAATAAATAACCAGTTTATGTTCACTGGCTATGTGATATCAGGGTGTCCTTGGTCTCTGTTTAAATATTATTTGCTATAACATCCCTAATATTAAATTAGTTATTATGTAAAGACTGGGACACAGTAGTAAGTTGAAAAGTTAAAATTTGATAAATAAAATGAACTAAGTTCCAGAACCTTAACCCAATCATATTCTCTAAGGTAGGATTTTACTTAAAATCCCAAAGGCCTTGTGATGAAGAGATTTTCACCGGCAGTACCATTTCCAATGTGGGCAACCAAACTAGACATGAGTGAGGCACCAATTTACTGTAGATACGTGATTCCATCAGCACGTGTCAATTAATCAAGACGGTCCCAGCCTTGATTCTTAAAATATCTATTGAGGTACCTACTGCGTCTTTAAGAAATAGAAAGGAATTGTCAAAGATGGTTCCTCTTCTCCAAGACTTTGGTTCATTCAGGAAGACCAAGTGTAAACGCAAACAAAAACACACACCCAACTAGGAAACCAGGAGAGCGTTCAGGCCAGCGCCAGCCACAGGTCCTCCCGGAGTGCGGAGCTGGGGAGAGCCGTGTGTGGACCTGAGAAAGGAAGGCCTTCCAAGAGATGGCAAGGGTGGATCAAGTATAAGAGGGAGGCTGCGAAAGGCCTTTTGGTGGAAGGAATGCGTGAGAAGAGGCTGGACGTTAGTCGTGGTGGTAAGACACGTGCCCGAAATGAACTACGTATTCTAGGGCAGGGATGGGCAACCTTTTTGTGAGTGCGTGCCAAAACCAGCAAAATCTCTGACTCAGAATTCTTCTGCGTGCCAACCCTGATTTTTTGAGAACATGTGACGCCTACTTAATATCTCTGAAGGTGTACGTATGTGAAGAACCTTGAAGAAATAATAAAATTCGAGCGACAAAAACACAGTATATGATGGTGGAAAATACATTTATTTTTTAATGTATACCTGTACACTGATGGTCCGACAGAAAACTTTATGACTCCGTTTGATATTATCAGTGGGACTTTGGCTGCTGCATCACTGATGACAGAGGTTTCACATCAGGTTTCTATTTCGTGACCTTCAGAGATACGCACGAGCTACTACTTTCATCCGTCAGGCTACTCCTATTACAAGACTTAACAAAATGCATCACTGAGAACAAAGATTCACCATTGTAAATGGGAGATTATAAGAGAGGGTTTTGTGTGCCAGCAAAAGTTACTGGTGTGCCATGTTTGGCATGCGTGCCAGGGGTTGCCCATCCCTGGTATAGGGCTTGCCAAGGTTCACACAGGTTAATAAGCAGATTACGTAAAGCCCTGATTGGCAGCCTCGGCTCGGACCTGGAAACATGGCTCGGACCTGGAAACATGACACAGGCGATTCCTGCTGACGGCATTCAGGTATCTCTATCATCAGTGTCACCTCTGTGCCCTCTTCAATAAGACCATTCCCTTTTCCACTTCCCCTGTAGCTTTCTTGCAGCCTTCTCCATCAAATGAAAAATACATTCTTTGCCGAAACCAGTTTGGCTCAGTGGATAGAGCGTCGGCCTGCGGACTGAAGAGTCCCGGGTTCGATTCCGGTCAAGGGCATGTACCTGGGTTGCGGGCATATCCCCAGTGGGAGATGTGCAGGAGGCAGCTGATCGATGTTTCTCTCTCATCGATGTTTCTAACTCTCTATCTCTCTCCCTTCCTCTCTGTAAAAAATCAATAAAATATATTTTAAAAAAAAAGAAAAGAAAAATACATTCTTTGCCGAAACCGGTTTGGCTCAGTGGATAGAGCGTCGGCCTGCGGACTGAAGGGTCCGGGTTCGATTCCGGTCGGGGGCATGTGCCTGGGTTGTGGGCACATCCCCAATAGGAGGTGTGCAGGAGGCAGCTGGTCGATGTTTCTCTCTCATCGATGTTTCTAACTCTATCTCTCTCCCTTCCTCTCTGTGAAAAATCAATAAAATATATTTAAAAAAAGAAAAATACATTCTGTTATTATTATTTGAAAATTAAATGGCCTCACAGTAGGCATATAACAGACATAATTTATTTTCTTCTCAGCTGTTTGTAAAGGGGCTGGGAAGGGTGAGCTGGTCCAAGCCCTTAGCTTCGGGGTTGAGTGCAGAATGAGCGGTAACATTTCCTTTCTGTTAAACTATAGTCCTGTTTGTGAAAAGGTTTTACCTAACTATGGACAGACATGAGTCCAGACTGGGATATGGCTTCTCATTTTTAAACGTCTTCATTTTGTCTTCTCAGAACACCAGGGGACCCACGTGGCCTGAGAAACCATGTGGTTCACACCCTCATTTCTCTGCTGAGGAAACTGGGCTCAGAGATGGTGTGATTTGGTCTAAAGTCTGGTCCAGCGAGGTTTTGCACCCCCCCGTTTCTGGAACCCCAGCTTGCTGCGCTTCCCACTGTTTTCATCAACAACCATCCCCTTGGCCTTCCTCTTTGTGAACCCAGTTTTAGAAAGTTTGGTCTGTTGGGCAGCACTCCAGTGGTGATGTGTTTGGCAGTCATCGATTCTGTTCAGTGTGAGACGTGCCTGCTATCAGACTGAATGGATAGAGTTCCAGCCAAAAGCACAGAAAGGCCACCATTTCTTCTAAACTTTTTTTAAAATATATTTTTATTGATTTCAGAGAGGAAGGGTGAGGGGGGGAGAGAGAGAGAAACATCAATGATGAAAGAGAATCATTGATCAGCTGCCTCCTGCAAGCCCCGTACTGGGGATCAAGCCCGCAACCTGGGCATGTGCCCTTGACCGAACTTGAACCCGGGACCCTTCAGTCTGCAGGCGGTCTCTCTGTCCACTGAGCCAAACCGGCCAGGGCTCTTCTAAACTTTTTGACACATGGAAATAGTTGTTCTTTCCAGTTATTACCAGACACAACCACAAGGGGGCAGGGAACCCCATCCAGTATGCATTGCTCAATCTTACCACCCACAATAGTTGGAACTCCGTGGACCTGTACATAAAACAGACACCCCACTGCACCCCAAAAGTGCTTGCTCTCGTGCCCCACATTCACTGGATTAAAAGAATAGCACTTCTTCTGTCTACTCACAGATTTGAGGTTAATGTCCTTCAATGCTTCAGCGGATTTTGCACTTTTGGGGTTATTTAAATGACTTCCCATCTGACTGCAAAAGCAGCCAGTCCCATTCCATTGGACCCCTCATATCCAGATGTAGTGATTTCATAAGTTTTCTAGAACTGGTTGGAATTCTGCATTTTTCTCATTCTGTGCACATCTAGCAGGACCAAAGAACATAGAGAAAATTAAAATATTTGAAAATAATATAGTCTTTTATAGCCATGTTCTTTTAATATCATACACTGATTTCTCTTAGAATACTGGGATGCACCAATGGCTTTTCATTGACTCTATTTCCATTTGTAGTTATGAGTGCTTTCAGGGTGATAAAAATGTCACAATTTAGCCAAAGGAATCCTTTAACTGGTCCAGGTAGCCTTGTGTATATATGTTGTTTTGGAACACCCTATACATATACATATATGTATTAGAATATGCATATGTATATAAATATGTGTGTCAGGATGGAATACCATTGGCAAGGGCGAATATATACCATTGCAGATTTTTCAGGTTTTGTTAGAAATACTCTCTTGGCCCTGGCTGGGTAGCTCAGTTGGTTAGAGCATCTTCCCACTGTGTCAAGGTTGTGGGTTCGATCTCTGGTCAGGGCACATACCAGAAGCAACCAGCGAGTGCATGGATGAGTGGGATAATGAAGCGCTGTTTTTCTCTCTCTTCCTTTCAAATCATTTTTTAAAATGTTAAACATACTCTTTTGACATATAAGGTCATATTTCTGACCTCGTTTCTCCATACAAATATTCTTCTATTCTCAGTAGTATTAAGTGCACATAGCTCAGTCATTTTCCAAGTCTTCAAAGTCTTTTGGATAAACGAGAGAGAATCCGTTATATTGTGAAAGAATTCTTTTAAGTGTCAGAGATCCCACTTCGAAGCTTTATCCACAGGGGACTTCTGGTTCTGCCTCTGATGGAAAATGATTCCAGAGACTCTGGGTCTGGGGAAAACACACCGAACCCATTCTTGGGTGGGAGGTGGGCGTCGGGGCTGCAGGGACAGCTGGAGGTGACGGAGTTCCAGGGAGGGCCTGCCTCACAGCTCACATTCCTGGACCAGGCACTGAGCTGGGGGGTGGGCAGAGGAGTGGCCTGGCCTGGCCCCAGGAAGTGACTGTGGGGGACAGAGGTGAGAAACAGTCACCTTTCAGTGACAGGGCAGTGCAGGTCGGCAGGCTAGGCCAGAATGTGGAAGAGCCTGGCCGGTGTGGCTCAGTGGTTGAGTGTCAACCTATGAACCAGGAGGTCAGTTTGATTCCTGATCAGGGCCCATGCCCAGGTTGCGGGCTCCATCTCCAGTGGGGGGCGTGCAGGAGGCAGTCAATCAATGATTCTCTCTCATCATTAATGTTTCTATCTCCCTCCCTCTCTGACATAAAAATATTTTTTTCTTAAAAGAAAACAAAGTCTTTATATGTCTAAAATAGACTTTGCTTTCAATTAAATGTAACTATTTTTACGCAAGTTGTTCCAAATCGGTGATTATGTTTAAGACAGCCTTTGTTTTACTCTATAACTGAGGGGATATTGTCACGGCTCTTAGCTCTCCCAGGTCTTTGCTCCGTGGAGGGCAGGTGGCTGATTGTCACCAGTAAGGAAAGATGCCTGTGGGTTAGCACTCAGCATCCTTCCCCTCCTTCCTGCCTGCAGAGGCTGGGAGACAAGGCATGTTCCCGAGGCCCTCGGGTACCGGAGGGAAGGGAGCAAATGATCGTATAATCCGTGCACTCCCAGGAGCTCTGGATGTCGGAGTCCGGTGCCAGCCATGCTCTGCCGGCAAAGGAAACGCAGCCCGGCAGGTGTTGGGTTTTCCGGTGCCAGGTGTGGGGATCTGGTCCCCCGTCTCTGCGTCCCAAGAGACGGGCACAGGTGTGGGTGCTCTGCCAGCGTAGACCTAGCAGGACTCCGGGAGGGGAGGAGGACCCCCAGGTGGCAGCTAAGGTGGTGCGTCCCTGCAGCCAGCAGCCCTGGGGGTATCTTGCTGGTGCCCCAGCTTCCTGACCACAGTACAAGCGACAGTTCTGTCGTTCTAGAAGTCACAGTGGGGATGGCCCGGTGGACAGCCTGCTCTCCAGTCATGGGAAGCCCGGGATTCCCTGTAGGAAACCCTGTTCCGTGCAGCCATATGAAGGGCACACAGGCTAAGGACAGGAACGCCGGAGATGACCCCTGGGGCTGATGAAGATGGTGAGGGAGTAGGTAGTGGGGGCCAGGGGGCATTTGCTGGGCCAAGGGCAGGAGAGTGGAGTGTCCGTGGGGGATCCCAAAGAACCAAGGAAAGCGCCAGCCCCAAACACCTGCCAGGTCCCCAGGGGGCACCCCGTGGGCAGTCCCGGGCGAAGGAAGAACTCTCCTGCCCTCTTACTGTTTTGGCCGAAGAAGGGCCAGAACCCGCCCAGCTTGGGAGCTGAGACACATCATTTGAGGTCCATTTATTTCGTGGCAAGTGACATGGTTTGGGAGTTCACGGTGCATTGACCCTTCGGGGTGCATGGCCCTGACTCCTTGGGCCCGCAGGTCGGGGGGGGGGGGGGGACGCCCGGCGTGTGGGCTGAGCTGAGCGCGGTCATTCCCAGCCCAGGCCTTGGTGGGGCCGCCGCCATCCCGGGCCCCACGGCCAGGGGGCGCTGCGCCCTCAGGTTCCCCCCCGCCCCGTCCGGCTGGGGTGGCGCCGCGGGCTGGGAGCAAAGGTTGGTGCCTTCACACCCGGACCTTCGCCGGCGGGCCGCGGCGTCATGACGGTGGGTGCCAGGCTCCGCGGGCGCCGGGGCCGAGGGCGAGGGCGAGGGCGAGGGCGAGGGCGGCGGGCGGGGGACGAGGAGCCCATCCTGGAGCAGCTGGAGCTGGACGACTCGGCGGCCGAGAGCACCGCGCGCCCGGGGGCCCAGAGGAGCGCACGGCGGGTGCACCTGGCCGTCCTCCCCGAGCGCTACGAGCCGCTGGAGGAGCCGGTGGCCCCGGTGCCGGAGGACAAGCCCAAGCGGAGGTACCGGCAGAAGCTGAAGAAGTACGGCAAGGTAGGCCCCCACTGCCCGGGAGCGGGGTGCGGGGTGCGGGGTGCGCCCGGGGCTTCCCGTGGGGAATGGATTCCCGTCCCCACCGTGTGCCTGCGCTCAGCCTCCTGGGCCCCCCACAGCCACCCTCTCTCCAGGATTCACCACTTAGTCCCCCGAACCGTCCCTCTGTGACCTGGGAAAGGAAAGTTTCGAGTAAGGATAGAAACTAAAGCCGAGGTGTCCCCAGGCGCCCATCCGCCAGCGCCCCCGCTGCTGGCTGCTTAGTGACAGGCCCAAGGGTCGCTCACCAAGCCGGTTCCCATCCTGAGTGGGTCTTACACGCCCTTGTGGGCTGGGCAGGTGGGGATACTGAGGCCTGGGCGCAGGCAGGTGCGTGTAGAAGTTGACCCAGGTGCAAAGTATGGGCTTGCAGCCCAGTGGATCCGTTTCTGGCAACATCCTCCCCAGGATAGTCCACCAGCTGAGAATTAAGTTCTTGGCCCAAATATTCCCAAGGTTATTTCAAGGGCCTGGGAGCTGGACAAAGACACAAATATGCACCTGTAAACATACTGCCATTTGCCCTGGGGGTGGAGGCCGAGGGGAGAGGTTGAGAGAGAGAGGATGAAAGAGATATGGATGTGAAAGTGGGATAAAATGCCAGTTTCCTCCTTGGGATCCGCCTGGAAGCATTTGAAGCTACTGCTGCCCCTGCTCCCTGGGGCTGGACACAGCGCCCAGAAGAAAAATCACAGATGCAGTGTCCATTGTGGCCAAAGGCCAAAGGCCCCGTCTCCTTTATCACCCGGGTTCCTTTGCCCTGCAGCGGCCCTTATCCTACCTGAAACCAGCCAGTCCCCATTCCTGGAATCTTAGGTGTATCATCCTCCCTGAAGGCATGTCAGCAGCTTTGGGCGCAGTCTGCCAGCAGGCAGTTATAAACACGTGAATAAACACCATAAAGCAGGACTCACAGACTTGGAGTCCTGCCAGGACTAGCTAACCATTTGCTCCCTGGTTCTGGCTGAGCCCAGGAAGCCATCGTTGCTCTCGGCAAACGGTGAGCGGATCAGGGGCACATCTCAGCTCAGGCGCTGGCTCAGAGGTGCTGTTGGGGTCCTCATTATGTGCCAGGCATCGTGCTAAGCACTAAAGGTCCAAAAACGGGGGCCCTGCTCACTTCTGACCTTTTCAGTGAAAGACGAACTGGGATCACCTAATGAGGGTGCAGAGCGTGTGTGTGTGTGTGTGTGTGTGTGAAAGAAAAAGGTACGGCCCTGACCGGTTTGGCTCAGTGGACAGAGTGTCGGCCTGCGGACTCAAGGGTCCCAGGTTCGATTCCGGTCAAGGGCATGTACCTTGGTTGCGGGCACATCCCCAGTAGGGAGTGTGCAGGAAGCAGCTGATCGATGTTTCTCTCTCATCGATGTTTCTAACTCTCTATCCTTCTCCCTTCCTCTCTGTAAAAATCAATAAAATATTTTTTAAGAAAAAAGAAAAAGGTATGAAATGGCACCTGGGAGAGAGAGAATGTCAGCCACTGGACAGACAGGGCAGGCTTGCCATGCCGTGTGGGAAGTGACAGGTTTGTGGTTGCCATCAGGGATTTTCCACGAAACCAGGTTCCCTGGTCACTGACGTTGGACAGGCCGTACGGTTGAGGGACAAGGTGGATGACGAGGTACAGGTCACCTGCATGAATGCTGAGGTCATCAATAATGATGAGGGAGGTTGGGGGGTGAGGAGAGGAAGATGGGGCAACGACTCGATTTATGTTGGTCACGGGCGGCTGTTTTAAGTTTCTCTGTTGTGATTGCATTTGAATCCTGGGATGGCCCTGTCTACCACCAGGTCTTGCAGAAAAGGGGCAGGAGGAGTGGAGGTGGGAAAGGACAGCCTGCCCAGCTGGTGGCTCATTTGTTGATCATCAACCTATGAACCAGGAGGTCACGGTTCGATTCCCGGTCACGGCACATGCCCGGGTTGCAGGCTCGCTCCCAGTGGAGGGTGTGCGGGAGGCAGCCGATCAATGATTCTCTCCCCTCATTGATGTTTCTATCTCTCTCCCCCTCTCCCTTCCTCTCTGAAATCAATAACAATATATTTTTTTAAAAAGAAAGGAAGTACGGCCCAGTCCTCACCCTTTAGGAGTTTGTAACTATGTCTGAAATGCTGACTTCTCTGGATGAGGCCATCAGAACCTTTAAGGCAGGGGTCCTCAAACTTTTTAAACAGGGGGCCAGTTCACTGTCCCTCAGACCGTTGGAGGGCCGGACTATAGTTTAAAAAAAAAAACTATGAACAAATTCCTATGCACACTGCACATACCTTATTTTGAAGTAAAAAAACAAAATGGGAACAAATACAATATTTGTATTTGCATGTGGCCTGCGGGCCGTAGTTTGAGGACCCCTGCTTTAAGGAGACAAATGTGTGGGTTGGTCAGGGCTCTGTCCTGCTGGTAGAGAGAGGACAGGGCAGGCACTGGGATAAGGTGATAGAGGAAACCTTGACCCAGCCTTCAGATGAACTGGAACAGAAGAGGAGTCGGTTTTGGTTAAAAATAAATAAATAAATAAATAAATAAAACAAAACCGGTTTGGTTTCTGAGCCAGCAGCCCCTCTGCTGTCCCCAAGATCTCGGAATGGTCTGGAAACATGAGGAGCTTGAAAGTACTTTGCACGGTGGCGACATCTGTCCTGAGTCCCCCACATGTTCCTGGGCTGGGGGTGGGTGTGAGACAAACATGGTCTCTTGCTAAGGAGCCCCCAGGGAGAACGAAGGAAAATGATTCTTCGGGGATGTGGCCCTTGTGCAGAAATCGCCTGACCCAATTCTTCGCTTTTGTCTTGATTCCTAAAAATAGAACGTTGGGAAGGCCATCGCCAAAGGCTGCCACTACGTGGTCATCGGCCTGCAGGGCTTCGCCGCCGCCTACTCCGCCCCGTTCGCCGTGTCCACCAGCGTGGCGTCTGTTGTCCGCTAGTGGGAGCCGCGAGGGCCCGGCGCCTGCAGAACCACGGGGGCCTCTGCCCTCGGAGCCCTGCAAATCCAGAGCATCGCGGACTTGAAGCCACAAAATACCTGGAAGAAAAACAGTCTTTGCCTTTCGAATTGGTGCTGTGAAGGGGTCCTCTCTGCCCGTCTGCTGAGCTTTCTCACGCCTCTCTGTCTCGGACTCGGGTGACTCCGCTGGACAGTCCCGCAGAGAATTAGACTGATGTTGGTTTGGGGTCGGAGTTCAGTTTGCTCACCCTGGAGCCTGGCAGGGCTGGCTGGTGTGGAGGCAAAGCCTCACTGAGTGGGAGCACCGTGGTGACGATGGGGAGGAGGGCTCGTACCTGGAGTGAGAGAATTTGCTACGTTCTCCTGGGCAGGTCGCAGGCCTCCAGGCGCTCACAGCCCTCGGCAGCCCAGTTTGCTCCTGACGTCAGGCCCCCCGTCTCCTCCTCCGCCCTTTGTCACCAGGAGTTTAAGTTCGGGCTTGAGAAGAAGGAAGTGACATCTCTTTGAAGGCCATGACACTTTGGAGCTGGGTTGACGATGCGTCGTGACTGTGTAAAGTAGATCAACGCTTGTCGTTGTCAGAGTGACATGAAGGTGCAGGGGGGTGAGGGGAGGAGGAAGGGCAAGTTCAGGTGCAGGTGCGTGGTGGGAAAGGGTGGTGAGGGAGTGCTCCTGGGCGGCATCAGCTCAGCGTCTCTGGGCCAAGCCATCGGAGGGACCGTTGTCTTGGGAGCGAAGGAGATGCTACATCTGGGAATGAAAGCGTAGGCTTTAGAGAAGGAACCGGTAAGTAGGAGACAGGCGTGGAAAGGAAGTAGAAACAGGACCAGAAGGAGGTTGGAGGAGAGAGAGGGAGAGTCAGGACCCAGATCTGGGTTCTGGGCTTTGGGAAATCTTCGCTGGACTGGGCCTTTGGCTCCAGGAAGGAGCCCGGGAAAGCTTGATGGCTTCTGAGCTCACGTTGTCTGCCTTGGTGGCATCCTTCCCTCTTCCATGCTGCCCACTCTGACCACATCTCACCTGGACTCAAAGGTTAGGGTGAGCGTGGTCCTGACACCCCCCAGCATGACCCAGTGACTGATTGGACCCCTGGAGAGGGAGGTGGAAGAAAGAGGAGGTCCCTCACCCCGTGCCCTCGGCCAGTTCCACCATTGACCACTGTCCTGACTTTGTTTCCAGAATCTCTGAAACTCCAAAGTAGTTATTGCTGTAGGATCAGTGGGCAACACCTACCTGTTGCCCCTAGAAGTTTCCAGGCCATGCACAGGAGGCCCCAATGCTCACATTTCAAGCCCAACCAGGTAGCACTGTGGAGTGGAGAAGGTGGGAAGACAGACAGACGGACAGAAAAGGAAAGGGGTGGGGGAGAAAGTTGTAGCTGGGAAGCTAAGACTTGGAGGCTCATGGTGAGTGGAACTTGGATCCAATTCCAGCATCACTAGTGTCTTCACACATTAAGACATTACAGCATGCCTGGCCCCACTGGGAGCTGGGGGGAGGGGGGGAGGTGGGGAAGGAGGGGATGGACGGACGGATGGACGGATGGACGATGAATGGGAAAGAAAAAGCAAAGCAGTGTTTAGTGGGAGAGTTGAGCCTGCTGATCCCAGGAAGGAACATGAGAGGGAGGGAGGGAGGGAGGGAGGGAGGGAGGGAGGGAGGGAAGGAGGGAAGGAGGGAGGGAGCTGGGGTGCTGGGAGTGGTCCAGGGATGCTGACACCCACTGGGTCCCTGGGGAAATGGAAACTGGAAGGCGACCCCAGGAAGGACAAGAGCTACGGAGGCCTGTGCCTGAAGACCTTCCCCATCTTGTGCCGCCCCCCTCCCCCCCATCACCCCCATTTTAGAGACGCCATCAGGCCAAGTTCCTTTGGCTCTGAACTTCTGGAAGTCTGGTTAGGAATTAACCCAGAAATTCCAAAAGTCGAAACCTTACAGGGACTGTGCCCGGCGCCAGATTCCTGAGTCAGAAGATGAACTTCAGACTCGCTCAGCCTGAGTTCTCCCGACTCCCCGTGCTGCCGACGACCTTTTATGCCTTTTCTTTCTCTTCACTTTCTTTCAAATATCCAGGCCCGCACCCCACTGAGAATGGGGTGTTAGAGCTTTTTTTCTGTATGTTTGACTCCAAGGCTGCTTTTGTATCCTGATCTCGCCGGATTATGTAAATAAAAACCCCAGTTGGTTTAATTTTCTGCGAGTGAAGATGTTTTTGCCCCCTCACTTTCTGGCCTTTGCATTAGTGTGATGCCCACAGCGGCCAGCCATGGCGGGCCGAGGACTGCACATGGCAGGCGAGAGCCAGTCAGGGACCAGCCCGGTGCTGTTCTGGCCCAGGCCCTGACTCACCTGGTGCTCTGGTTGGCTCTTAAAGGTGGGGCCATTCTCTAGAATTTTCTAGAAGCCCAGCAGGATGGGTTTCAGGGTGCAGGAGCCTCAGCTCATGCATTTGTTAAAAATGAAAATGTCCTTGCCTGGCCCGTGTGGCTCAGTGGCTGAGTGTTGACCTGTGAACTAGGAGGTCACAGGTCACAGTTCTATCCCAGGTCAAGGGCATATGCCCGGGCTGTGGGCTCCATCCCCAGTGTGGGGCGTGTAGGAGGCAGCTAATCAATGATTCTCTCTCATCGATGATGTTTCTACCTCTCTCCTCCTTTCCTCTCTCTGAAATCATTAAAAACATATTTAAAAAAAAATTTTATTTGATTTCAGAGAGGAATGGAGAGAGAAAAATCAACAGTGTCTATTGTTGAGAGAGGGGGAGACTTCTTTGTTTTCTTTCTTTTTTAAAAATATGTTTTTATTGATTTTAGGGAGAGAGAAAGGGAGAGGGGGAGAGAAACATGAATGTGAGAGCAGAACATGGATCGACTGCCTTCTGTACGCCCCCTGCCCCACTGGGGATGGAGCCCACAACCTGGGCATGTGTCCTGTCCGGGAATCGAACAGGTGACCTCTTGGTGCATGGGAGGGTGCTCAACCAACTGAGCCACACTGGCCAGGGCAAGGTGGGACTTCTGATGGGATCTTAGTGGGGGCAGGAAGCGATGCACCCCATTCCCAGGTTTGAAAAGATGCCCCGGGCTGCAAGGGGACAGGCTGGGCCTGGGGTGGGCATCGCTGCATGACAAGGAGGCCGGTCGGCTGGCTTGTTCAGGAGGAAAGGCCTCTGCCTGGGGTGATGGGAGGGGATGGGTCCCCAGAGCCTACGGAGAAAACAGAAGTGACGGGGTTGGCCGAGGTGGGTGCAGGGGTGAGGGAAAGCGAGGAATCACAGAATTCCCTCCGATTCTGGCCGGAGCAACAGAGAAGGCACTAGCGGGGGGAGGAACGGAAGGAAGAAGGCAGAAGTCTTTCCAGCTCAAGGCCAAGGCTGTTGGATTCGTACAATGCCTGTCTGCTGGGCCAGAAATATCATGTGCAAAAGAAATACCAAGACCTGGGCTTGCTGCTGCAGCCACGGGATTTCCTGAGCCATTGTTATCGTTTTTACCTTGGAGCCTGGGCAGTGCCTTGACTGGCCTGGTCCCTGACCTTGGCCGCTTGGGGGAGGCTGGGACTTGCCGGGCACTCCCCTTGGCCTCTCCTGCCATTGGAGTCCGCTGAACGCTGAACAGATACATTCGGCCCTGGGGGCAGGGGCGCGTGAGGCAGGGCTGGAGGGGGGGGCGTTGGGGGGCGCTCACCCTGCGGCAGGGAAATCCAGGCCGTTAGGTGTTTCTTTTGTGGACGAAAGGGGCCACATGCTGACCTGACAAGCTCAGGGAGGCCTGCATGGCAGTCTTGAAAACTCAGAGACTTAAAGTCACCACAAAGGATGGTCTGAAATTAAACTTTAACTAAAAGCAGTTTTGGTGGGTAGTTACATCCTAGGCCAGTATCTTCACTGACAAGGGTCAATCAACCTTTACCTTAACTGAGCCTGTCTGTCTTTTTGCATCTATGATAACACACCCTTGAAATGTCTGGGTAACTTGTAACTTCCCTTTATCTGGAGCCCCTGGGGCACAGCCAAATGTGCTGGGCGCCAGGACAGATACCACAAACTCCTTCATCATCATCATGTTCATTGATCCTGCACCCACCTAAGTATGTGTCCATCATTTTACTTTTTATCCAATCCCAGGGGTTTCCTGGCTTTGCTTTATCCCTCCTCCTTCATCTATCACCAATGAATTTCATGTAACCCACCCATGTCCCTCCTTTGATTGCAAATATATAAATACAGATGTAATCCCGCCATTCTCCGGAGCACTATCTCAATTCGTTGAGGTTCTGCTTCCCGGCATATGTCGACAGTTTGGCTCAAATAAACTCACAAAAATTCTTTACAGGTTTCAGTGGTTTTTACGTTAATACTTTCTACGCGTGCCTTGATCCTCAGCACAAGCCATTGACACGAGTGTCATGGTCCCCACTGCTGAAACGTGGGGGGGGGGACCTCTCTCATGCACGGAGCCTTGCAGGGCGCAGCTCACGCCCAGCAGATTCCAACCCCACCCTTGGTCTCACTTTTCTTCTCCTCCATCCTTCCCTCCTCCCCGCTATCTAACCAGGTTGTCTGTGGTTTTGTTTTTTGTTTTTTTAAAGATATTTTATTTATTTTTGTTAATCCTCACCCGAGGATATTTTCCCATTGGTTTTTAGGGGGAGTGGAAGAGAGAGGGAAAGACAGAGAGAGAAACATCCATGTGAGAGGAACACATGGACTGGATGCCTCCCGTAGGAGCCCTGACCAGGACCCGGGGCCCGGGAGGAGCCTGCAACCCCGAGGTACGTGCCCTTGACCGGAATGGAACCCGGGACCCTTTGGTCCGGAGGCCGGCGCGCTATCCACTGAGCCACACCGGCCAGGGCTGTTCAGGTGATCTTTACACTAGACTGTGTGTGGCTTCTACAACCACCGTTGGCCCAAACTATGAGGAGGACTCCCTGGAATTCCCTCTCCCTGGGCAACGCGGGCAGCTTTCTACCCACATTCAAGACGGTCAAGGCTTGGGCCGGTTAGTAAATCAACAGGATGAAAGCGCCGGGGAAATGGAGGTTATTTTGTGAGGAACGTGGGCGGGGAGACACTCTGTTTAATACTATTTTCGTGGGGTTGGAGGCCCTCCCAGCAGGCAAGGACATTCTCTCCCTCCCCTGACACCTATCCGGGTCCAGTCCTTCCTCCTCCTCCTCCTCTCTGAGCCCACGCAGGCGGCGCTGAGAGGAAAGGCCAAGGAAAACAAGGGCAGAGAAGCAGCCGCTGAGCAGGGAGAGGGGAAGCGGGATTCTGCATCCTGGCTGACAACCTCCTCAGAGTCAACGCTGCAAGGACAGGCGGACAGATGCGGTCATCGAAGGAGCTTGGGGGGCCCGTTGGCCAGAGGCGAGAAGGTCCCTGGCCCTCGGGGTCATCTGCTTCAGCCCCCACGACATTGCCCTTGATGTCCAAGGGATATGGGTGGCCTTCCCACCCCCCTGACGAATTCCTTGGAGCATCTATGTATTGATCGGGTATCAGTTGAGATGTGACTGTGCCCGACATACCCAGGTAGACCCCAAGTCCCAGCTGGTGGAAGGAAGGCCACCCTATAGGGGGGACAGGTGCTGTGACAGACACATCTCCACCTCTTTCTTCTGGCCGGTCTGTTCCTTGCTTCCTGCCTGAAGCCGCATATTCCGGCATCTCTCTCCCTCAAGTGTGGGAGGCCGCCATGGTGGGCACCTGCCTCGTTCTCTCGGGGCGGGGCCCTCGGGGGAGACAAGGGACTCAATGTCTCAGCCGATAGGGGACTCGATGTCTCCGCTGGAACAGGAATAGACGCCTCATCCTATTTCAGACGCAGGATGGCCTGAGGGCCTAACAGCATTCTGCCTCCTAGGCCTGCAGGGACCACAGGGCGATTGTCCCAATGTCAGGGGCTGTGGACAGCGTGGCTTTGCTTCTCCCCAGTGCATTTCCAAACTGGGCCTCCCGGCGACTCACAGAACCGACCCTTCACTGAGCTGGGTCAAGGGAAGCTGCGCCTCAGGATTTACTCCCCAGGAAGGAAAGGAGCACTTCCTTTCTGGGCCCCAAAGAACCAGCCGCGGGCACGCCCTCCCCGCCCTCCTCCCCCAAACGCTGGTGGCGGCGCCCCCTGGTGGAAATCGGCAGCCACTGCTGGAGACAGCCCCCCACCTGGACCCAAAGGAGAAGGGGCTGGGGTTGAATTCGGGGAGGGCGGGAACTGGGGTGTCCCCTGGTGGGGGTGACGCCGTCAGATCCCGCTGACTGTTGTCATGAAGAATACAGATCTCGCCGGGGCCGGTTTGGCTCAGCGGATAGAGCGTCGGCCTGCGGACTGAGAGGTCCCGGGTTCGATTCCGGCCAAGGGCATGTACCTGGGTTGCGGGCACATCCCCAGTGGGAGATGTGTAGGAGGCAGCTGATCGATGTTTCTCTCTCATCGATGTTTCTAACTCTCTATCTCTCTCCCTTCCTCTCTACAAAAAATCAATAAAATATATTAAAAAAAAAAAAAAGAAGAATACAGATCTCGCGGGACCTGACAGTTTGGTTTTTCAGGACAAGCGAGGAAGTTGCCTATTGAAAAAAGAAGCAAAACAAAACCAACGGGACAAGCCAACGAAAACAGG